GCTTTCGAAGAGGAAAGGTATGGTCTTTCGAAACGCAACATTTTTCTCCGTCTACCGTTACCGTACTTACCGTTTCATCAAGAGATAAAGGCTAAGATAAGTAGGATACTGATCGGATGGTAACATATGAAGCTTAGTTATGGGAGGTAGATGAGATCTGAAAGGAAAAGAAAAATGTTTGTTGTCTAGGTTCTTTTATCTTTATTTGGCAAAGAAACAAAGGATTTTAAACGGACTTTCGATTCGATTTATCAAGACCCCGCCCCCAAGGCTGGGCGTGTTACATACGTGTGAGGAGGATGGTGAATCACGCATTCACACAGACAGAATCACTCTGGTAAAATCGAACGACAATCTTCGGAAAATCTGAGAGCTGTTAGAGCTGCTTGAATGTGTTGTGCACATCAACGTGACACGCAGTGAGTTTAAACAAATTATCCCAGTGAGGCAACACAACCCGTTATCAGTCTCAGATCCTAATCCATTATTCATTATTGTCTAGACTGTGGACTTTGTGAGGATGTGAAATTGCATTTAGACCCATTTTGATGATGCAATCAGATAGTTCGCTACTTGACCTGTTGTACATCATAATGTAATCATTCACAAAATGTCTGACATAGTCATGACATAGTTGAAAAAAAATTATGGTAACTGAAGCAGGGTAGCTTCTAGAGCTTCCCATGAGTACAAATATTGCTATTATTGAGTTCATTTTCGAATTATTAGATTTTACAAAGTATGTTATCTTGATGGGCCATAGAATGGTACCATGTCCCCATGATGAGTCATTTGTTGTATGTCTACAGTAAAGTCACTCAAACAATTATTTATTATCATGTCTCCACAGCTAATAAAAGTGCTTTACTACAGTAACTGTGATTACAGGAAGGAATTCAAAGTGCAGAAACCTGTATCACTGCAAATGTTATATAAATGGATCCAAAATTTCTTTTTACATGTGATCATGCAGGAAGCACAGGTAGCAGTGGTAGCCATGGCAGTGCAGACCTTAAGATTCCCACTGATAAGAAACACAAGGCCAAGGCCATACAGGAAGCCATACGCAGTGATCCCCCAGACATCGCAAACCTCAGGAGGCTGGCCATCAGCGATGGTGGTCTACTCCGAGATGACCTACGACGAAAAGCCTGGCCCAAACTGATGAACGTCAACGTGTTTGAGATTCCTCCCAAGCCAGGTATGTGTCTGTCTCTCTTGGTCTCTTAGTCTTGTTAGTCTTGGCTAGTCACTGAAGTGCAGCAGATTAATTAGAAGCAGAAACTTACTTCGTCACTTGGACCTTCCATTTGGTTTGATTCTGCCACATTGACAAAGTACACTGCTGGGAGGATATGGACAAGTTTACAACAGATAAATGTACAACAGAAGACTACAAGATGCTGTAGATTGGTGCAAAATTCCTGCTTCACTGTAATTACATATGAATTGAAATGTTCTTGAATTGGCCATGTGCAAAAAAAATGAATTTTCCACAGTATACTCTTCTCATTTTTCAGCCAACATAAAAGCCCACAGGGACTACCGACAAGTTGTCCTTGATGTGGAGAGATCAATGAGAAGATTCCCAACCAGTGAGTATTAAACATCCTTGATAGTTTGTTGCTATGCTTTGAGAGTAATGAGAACAATCTATATATTACCTTTCTGCCTATTGAGATCTAATTCAGAACGAATGCTGTTGTCTTACTGTACCTGATATGTGGATTTGCTTTTCAGACATGAAGGAAGAACAGAGGTTACGATTACAGGACCAACTGGTGGACATCATTCTCAGAGTTCTTGTTAGACACCCAGAGCTTCACTACTATCAGGTTTGTAGAATAGGATTCTCAAAGTCAAAAATTTGTACTTGAATGTGATCTAGATTGTCATTTTTCAAAGTCCACCATATCATAGGATTAAGGGATCTAAAGGTTTGATCTACTTGATATCAGAATCTGCTACTTATCTTAGTCCTTCATCCCATTATCAATACCAAGAGGGGTGTTGGTATTCCAAATATTGTATCAGCTCTGGTCCACTAAGCTTTTAAATCCAAGTCATTACCAGAAGGGAAGGGTTGAGCTAGGCCTAGTGTATTGATTGTTCAAGGGCACAGTCTTCTTGTCATATTATCACTGACTGACCTTTAGAAAAGGAAACAGTGATAGCCATTTACATGTACCGTTACATACAAAAATGTACCTCCCATATTCTAGATGCTGATGACATTATATATTGTTGTTCTTCCTAGGGCTACCATGATATCTGTGTGACCTTCCTGTTGGTAGTGGGAGAGGATCTTGCCTTTGCCATCATGGACAAACTGTCAGAGTACCATCTGAGGTAGGTTCTCATTATACATTACAGTTTCCTTTTTTTTACAGAAGTCTAACTGTCGATTGGTAAAATACATGATTATCTGCCAGGCATTTTGTTGCTTTGTTTATGGTAGTTCAGTATTATGAAATTTTGTTTTGTTATCATCACTAGGGACTTCATGGATGAGTCTATGGACAGGACACGTCACATCCTGGGCTACCTCATGCCAATTGTGGGTAAAGCCCACCCTGAACTAAGGGAATTTCTGGAAAGGTATGGCAAATGTCGCCTTTTTTGCCAGTTATAGAGAGTGGGATGAAGGATGTACTAACAACTAGTACATGTAAGAGAGCAGGACTTAAAGGAAGAGGGTGTAAACTTTTTGTATAGAACAGTCTACCTGTAAACTGTTCCATTTTTCTTAAAGAATGGTTCAACTAATACTGTTTATTATGTCACCCAAACAGGTCAGATGTGGGCACCATCTTTGCCCTGAGTTGGTTAATCACATGGTACGGCCACGTTCTCACAGACATCAGGCACATTGTTCGGTTATATGACTTCTTCCTGGCCTGCCACCCCCTCATGCCTATCTACCTAGCAGCACAGGTCAGTCTTTTAGTACTTTATCAACTACACTTGCCTGGTGTTATCATTACCTACTGCTTGTCATGAAGATAGGCCCTAAGTGTTTGAGATATATTTCATGCACCCCGAGGCAGATACACAATAAGGACATTCATCAGCTGAAGTTTGAATGGGTCTTCTCAAGTAGTCACTGTGGTATAGTGCATACTAGTTGGCAATGCTTCCACCTGTTTGTCAGATTGATGCCATACAGTACAGTTGAGATGTGTACTGATGAAAGTCATCCTCCTTTAACCCCACAGATAGTCCTGTACAGAAGTGAAGACATCCTGCGAGTGGACTGTGAGATGACCATGGTGCACCACACCCTGTCCCGTCTGCCAGAGGACCTGCCGTTTGAACACCTGGTGAGTCGTGCAGGGGACCTGTTCATCCAGTACCCACCCTCCATGCTGGCCAAGGAGGCAGAGCTGGAGTTCTTATCCAGGTCAGTCCTAAGGAAAGATGAGTTCATGTTTTGAGTCATCTTTTTTGGTGATGTTTAACCAGCATTATGAAGCGTCTAATACCAATACTATACCAGCACTTGAGCAGTTGAGTAAAATTTACGGTATATGCTTCTTTAAATACATTAACAGTATAATTTGTATGTTTACTTGTGTGTACACCCAGTATCTGTATCGGTATAGCTGGTATAACCGCCCTTCGATGTAACACCAGCTTCGCAGGCACACTGTGCAGCAACAGCATTTAGTGTTTAGTGATATATTGACTTTGCATTGCCATATTTATTCCCCATTCAAAACAGCACCACAATCAGTTGTTACAAGGACTTTGAGATGGCCACCAATCAGAAACCAGATACTGTGCTTCGGCGGCGGCGGCGATTTGGCAATGGTACCGCACAGAACGGGGACGTGAAGACGGTACAACTCCGAAAGCCGACAAACCTGGCGCTGAAGTTTGCAGTATGGGCCATCTCTGCCTCCCTTGGTGCAGCTGCACTTGCTGTAGTCAATGTAGTAAATGAATGGTTTTAGGTGTATGCTCTAACATCAACTACAAAATACAGGTATATGTAACTATCAAATCTGAAAGACCAGGATATAGTGATGTCTTTCTACATGATCTCCAAAGCAAGATGTGTATATATCAGATAATCTATGGTATGAAATATGGTCTTTGTTTCAATTGTGGAAACTGGATGATGAAGTGAAAGTTAACAGAAAATGATGAAGTTCAGGTTGTACATGCAGCTGAGAAAGTGTTTGAAACTAAAAGTTTGATGATGATGGTATCTTAGGTTGACGGGCTGAGAGAAGGCTATCATAAGATGTCGACTAAAAAAGGTGGAGAAAGAGCCATTATGAAATTGTGTGTTGACAAGTATCTATTCACATTTGTAAATAGTGAAAACTCCATTGCCCACGGTTACATTTTAACTGTTTGTGTTGTTGTTGAACCTCTGTAGTCTGTACTGTATAGTTGCTAGCATATGATTGAAGCAACACTGTAACCACAACAGCATTCCTATGTCTTTCTTGTGCAATGAGTTTTTTGCCATTTTAAAGCCACCAGTTTCTCAGATTGTAATCTTCTTGGGGTGGTGAGAAAAATTTCTGTGGAAACTGCATGTAGATGTACTGTTACAGTCATGTGAAGAAAGGTTGGTGTATATTTTACAGAACTATACATTGTCTAAGCACAGGCAATGTTTTGGAACCAAAGATGTTAGATATGCCATGTGAGCGGACTGGATTAACACTGGCATGTGCACTATTTAGTTTAGTTACAAGTTAATGATTATTCAAAGCTTGTAACAAAGGCTTCCAGTTCCTGTTAAGTGTACAGAATTTAACTATTTGTGCTCCACTATGAAATACTATGTCCAGACATAATTATGTGTTCAATTCAAGTACAGGATGCTGCTGTTTTAAAATACAATGTATTATGTCAGGTAATGGTGTTTCAGTCATTGTTGGGGTTTACACAGTCATGCGTACAAGTGTCATTGCATATGCTGTTTAATTGGTATACAGTAAGTGTATGTTTTGACAGTAAGTGTATGTTTTGATATGTGGGAGGAGGTAATTGTGATACTGTCATGCAAATATATAAGAACAGGGGAACAAAAACCTCATGTTATAAAGCCATTTTATCAGGACCATAATTTGTGCAATGTTTGTGTTGAATGCAAGTGTGTGTTTAAGTATCTCCATCCACATGGTAGTGATTGGGGCCAAGTGCTTAGTGTTGTAATGGATACTGGAAGGACGTGTTTTTAATGAATCAGATTTGGTCAACCAGTTCACACAGTATTTTACTTATATGTCTCAGTACTGCAGTGATTTTTTTTTTACAAATAGCATTTATGACTGTCACAGCAGTTATCCTAACTGTATTGATAACATTATTACAGTAATGGTCAAGTTGGATTAGATATTCATGATCAAAAGTCACATTAGCCAACAAAAACAATTCTGAATAGTGTGGCAACTGAAAATATAGAAATTGCATGTCTACAGAAGATATTGTCATGTCTAGTTTCTTGGTTGAGGCCAGTTTGTTCATGACATACATGCTTAAATGTGTGTAAAGATAGACAACCAGTCACGGTGAACGCTCAAACTCAACTGGTTTATTCAATCTCCAACCGGCCGGTTCTAAAGCCCCTTCCCTCGAACGGTACCGGTATAGATCACCTGTTCGAACACGACGCTGGCACGTGCGCTGGCATGGCACGTGTTCGAACAGGTGACCGCGGCTCCGCCCAAGGGAGGGGATAGAACCGGCGATAATACAATGCTTAATAAAACTAACAATACACATTGTTACAGTGTATGGCATGCATTAGAGTTAAAGGTATGTTTTCCCATACCAGGGGAGGTATGCACAACTTCCAGAAACAACATCCACAATTCCACATAATCACAAGAAGACCACTCTGTTCTTTTAACACACTTTATTGCACCATACCATACTTCCATATACCGTATGTCTACAAATATGTTTGTTACTTGGTCTAATCTCTACATCTTGCCAATTTGTTACATTTCTGGGTAGTGAGACCCGCTTGAATTGGTGCACTGTAAGAACAGCCAAAATGCTGTGTTTTGTGCATTACTATAATAATTGTTTTTTCTGAGCAATAAGACTACACCTACATGTATATTCAAAATACACACTTATCAGATACTGAATAAAAGGAGTTTGTTCCCAAAACCTTATATACCCTTGGAATACCAAATGCAACACCGGCAAGACAAACACACTTTGCACAAGTCTTGAAAAACATATTAACCACTTTTCTCTGTAAAATAGAACTTCTCCAAAAATATAGAATATGTCCACCTCACTGAATAAATACACACCCTGTTCTTGTATTCTGAAAATGTACATCCAAATGTCAACCTGTATCAAAATCCATCTGTCACTATTCATCACAAATATCTAGAAATTTTCTCTCCACCTTGGTTAATTCTTACATCATCTCTTCACTTTGGTCAATTCCTACATCATTGAGTACTAGACAATAAGGCACTTTCAGATAAAATCAGTTTGATCACCAGGCCCTTACAACGTACATGGTACAGACTTAGCTATCCCTGAACCTGGAATGTGTTGAATATGATTTCTAAACTTGTAATTTGGAAGAGCCCAGTGGAGCTTTAAAATGTTTTGCATAGATTACACTACAATGTCCTTGCTTGCACTTAACGTGTAATTGGTGACTTTAACATGCTAATTAAGTGCTTACAGGTGGCAAATAAATGAATTGATACTTAGGCCTGATTTACACGGGGCAAAAAATATCATTTGGCCTGCACTGAACGAAGCGGCACCATGTTCGACGCAGGCCAAATGATATTTTGCCCCGTGCTAACCGGCCCTAACTCTAGCTTTGGTCCTCTGACTTTGGGGAACATTGAACTGATCTGTCCTTACATGGCCAGCGCACCGTATCACATCTACATCAAAGCTCCGTGTGCTCAGTGTGCTTGTGAACTTTGACTTCAGGTTTACTGAGCCTGGAGCCTTCAGTGGGGATGTCCTCCTCCAACTCCTCTGGCTCCTCATCTTCAGGCTCGTGCTCGTCTGACTGTACAAACTCCCCGTGATCGTGAACGTCTGTCTTCTGTTTGGCAGAGTCTCCCTCTACATCCAGGAAGGTCAGGAAGTCGTAGCCAGGCATCATGGGACCCCACAGCTCCTCCTCTAGTTCACCTATGGATACACAAAGAAAATGCTTCAGTTGAACTAATAAGTCGAGAGGAAGCCAAAGGCAAAGGTCTTCACCTTCACCTTGTCCCATCCTCGTCTGGAGGGTCAGGGACTGTGGTAGCGTGCAGCACAAGCTTCCTCCATCCATCTCTGTCCTTGGCCTTAGTGCCGTAATGTGTACAGTACAATGTATGTGACTTTCATAACATGTTCTATGCTAGGCTGACATAAAACAATAACTGTCAGCAAGGAGCTTTCAACTGTTGAAAGCTCCCTGCTGTCAGTTTTCATGTTGGCCACTCAGACAAGTCTTGCTACAATATGTAGTTTTACTGTTTATATAGACATTTAACAACCTTTAAATGGTATAAAGCTGTAGTTCTCTACAATGTGTATTCATATAATGAAAGATCTAATTCAAATTGTTTAACAGTAACTGTTGCAGGACAGAGAAAACTGGACTCACTGTTAGCCAAGATGTCGCCTTTCTCACAGCCACGGACCCAGGAAGTCACCTTGTCCTTGGAGAGGTCATTAGGGTAGGGGTACTCAAACACTCCTCCCTATAGGGGACACATGCATCAGGTCAGGAAATGCACTGTGTTCAATGCGATTTTACAACAGCACAAGAGAAGAAATTTGCATCGTTTAAAAGGACGTTCTTGCACTCTCACCGTCTTGTGCTGAATCATGACCAGGGCAGGGAGACCGGCGTTTGGCGCATAGGACTGGAGAAGATCTGCTCCCAAGGAGTCTGCAGTGAACCTGGAGAGGATTGTAAGGAAGAAATGATACAATACATGCCATCACAAGCTTCATTCAGTAGTTTGGTGTCTTTATTTGATGGATACTTGTTATTGCAGAGGCATTGGCAAACAAAAAAAAACAATTCTATCCTACATATGGTACAATGTACAGCTGTTTTGTCCAGGTGGCAATCTGTGCCTACAAAGTTTGGGTAAATGGATCAAATACATGTATTCTACAAAAATCAGTTGAGTTTTGTTTGGAATCTACGCAAAAGCAAGTCAGAAATGTTACACACTTACACATTCATCTGGCAGAAAATAACAGGAAGTTCTTCCGTTGCAGCAATCTGGCCGATAGACTCTAGCTCTTCCCCCCTCCCGCCAAACAGAATCACAAATGGTTTGTCTTGGATGAAGAATGAGGGAAAGTTCTTTGCGGTCAGCTCAGGCTAGAAAAAAATACAAAAGAGACTTAATAAATGTGATCAACCTATAAGAAATCAATGTATCATAAGGAAGGTTTCTTGTGGAGTAAAGGCTCTCTAAATTGTAGATTCTGAATCATACACAGCCACTCAAGCCAAAAGTTGTGTTAAACATTACTAATTCGACTGTGGTATGAGATGTCTCATGTTTAGACTTAATCTGTATGCTTTAGTTCTTCTGACATCATAGCTAACATATCTCTCTCACAACTTGCAATTTCATCAAGCACAGAAAAAATATTCAGTATGATCTATCCTATTGTCAAATATATGAAACTTTTCTGGTTGTTACTTACAAACACAGGAAGGCTGGCTAGTCTGATGAACTTGAGCAGACTGGGTTTGTGGAAAACCTTGCCAGAGAAGAGTTTGAAGGGCTGGTACTTATCACTCTTCTTCACCACTACTACACCTGGCACTGAGGAGCCGTACATAGAACCACTGAAACAAACACATTTCATTAATGAATAAAGCTCAAACAAACAAACATGGAATAACAAAAAGTAAAGTTACCTTAATGTCTTTTGAACAAGGACATTAATGGATGGAGAGCAACCTTAAAATCAGTTAACTCACACTTCTTGTGCCAGTGCCTTGTCTTTAACTAGACCCAACAGGAATTCCCCTTGTTGTTCATGAGCTGCAGACGTGAAAGTTTTTATCTCTGAAACAAACAAAAAAAGAAAACATTAAAAACATTATATGATAGTTCTTATGTTTCTGCATTTCTAACAGAAGGCACCTTGATTCAGAGTATAGTACAAAATCAACATATTGTTAGAAAAAATAAGGCATTCTACCATATATATATATACTGTATATTTGAAGGTCTGGATAATATATCAGTCTTGTGATTTCTAGTGTTAAAATGTCTCCTGTGTAATGCATGAGAGGAATAGAGGATGAGCAACAACACACCTGCCTGATCCTCCTGACCCGTCAGTCCAAGTACAACTGTGTCGGTGATGCCGGCTGACAACAGATTTTTGAAGTTTGTCACCTCTTTCACAGTCTTCAGCTCGGCTGGGGCTGGAAGCTGGAGACTATAAAACAGGTTTGCAGCCTTCATATGACATTCATAGTTACTGTTTCAAAATACTTCTGATGGATACAATTTTGGCTTTGTGGATGAAGAGAAAAAGTGATCAACAAAACAAATGCTAAATAAAGAAATCATTTAGTACATTGAAGCAGGGGGTTTTGATATACAAGATATCTTTCAATAATGAAGGGAATGCTAGTATACTCACAGCTTTACAAAGTTGACCAGAGCAGTTGTTTCCAGCATGCCCTTGTAGTCCTTCTGGTACTGACCATCCCGGTACACCTTGGTGACTGGGTAGCTGGTCACGTTGTTAAGCTGGCACACGTCTGGCCAGTCGTCACATGCCACACGGGCCAATGGGCTGCTGTCAGAGGTGTCATCTGTGAGAAAACAATGTCAGATTACTACAGATCGTGAGCTTGAAGACAGTAAATTCACCATTATCATCGCATTTTTTAGTTATCTACTGTATCTTGCCCTATCAACTTGACTACTGGATACAACTTGTCATGTTTTCAGAAGTTGTACTACAGCAGATGCAAAAGATGTGACAAGAATCAGAGCCTTTTGATGTGATGGGAGATCCTCACCTTTCAAAGCCAAGGATGCCTCAGAGTAGGACGCCAGGAACGCAGCTGACCTTGCCTCCCCTGTAATATGAGCAGAAAAATAATAATTTAGACCTACATCTGTCATGGAATGTCCCCTGGTATACATTGTAGCTCACTAAGTATAAGGCATCTGATACTGTATTCTGTAATGTTTTTCATTTTTTGTCAAGTGGAAGTGAGGAACAAAACCAGTCACTATGCGGTACAGAATGACATACAGGTTCAATTTTGAAATGGCCATATCCTATAGTACATGAGTGGAACAAGTGGAATTTTGAGTGGCAGGTCCTTCATTGTGAATGACTTACATGACAGGTAGAAAACCACCACAAGCAGCGGCTTCTCCTTCAGTATGACTGGGAAGGTTTTGTCTGTCAGGGCAGGAGCGTAGGTCAGGTCCAGCGGGGTGTACTTGCTGCGGTACACGGCCTCCGCTACTACGTCATCCTCAACCTCTTGTTCTATGGCAACACAAGGAAATACCTTAGATAAAACTTCAACAGGATATAGCACAGAGCCAGACATCAAGTTAGTTTTTCCAGAAAAAAAATACAATCATTGATAGAAAAAAATATGACGATAATTAATTTTAGCAGTAAAATAAAACAAAAAAAATGTATAGTGAGCAAATTAAGAAAGGTATAATTCTGCAACATAGACAATCTCCTCAAAAAACATTATGACCATTCGAAAAAAGCTGCAACACAAGACTAACATCATAGCTGCTGAAAAAAAAAGACATTATGAATTTGTTGAAGCATAATATAATATACCCACTTAAGATGAAGTTAAAAGTATAATGTTTGGCAGGGCCAATTGGGTATGTACCTGGTACATCTTCGTAGTCTTCTTGTATGGTCCTCTTTTTCTTAGTTCCTCCGTGTTCAGAAATTAATGTTTCAATATCCTCCACCAATGGGTCCTCACTGAAGTGGTGCATGTAGTTCAGGTTGTCCTGTACATAGAAAATTACATATTAGGTGAACTACCATGACTTTGGGTTTAATGACATCCATAGCATTTTTAACAAGTCAGATTAGCATAGGTCTGGATTACCTTCCCAAACAGTCCTCCAATATTCCTGAATACAGTTCTGAGCTCAGAAAAAGATGCAGACAAATTCAACCTACAAATCTAATCTACAAACTTTAACATTGTTTCTTGTAGCAGTTAAATGTAACTTTCAACAGCTATGTACAAAATTGGTATAAAAAATTATATTCCTTACACTGATACATTACTAGTAGACTGAAGGTCTCTTAGAACAAAGTTTTGACCAAATCAAAAGCTTCAGATAATAAAATCCTACTGACAGCCATACCTGACCATTGAGTTGAACAGCAACAACTGGCACTTCCCTCAGCCTCTCTGTGTCTGTAGCCAGGCTCTCCAGTGTGGACTCAGGAACAACATCTCTGCACAGGGATACACAAATTAGCTACTGTAAGGCTTACATTAAAGGCATATGTGTACATCTTTCATATGTGTATGTGTTTCCATAATCAACTACAGTATACTATTAGGCTAGAATGTGTAAGGTTTTGAAATAACTCTGTAGTTGATCCAACTCATTAAAGATCCATGTTTTGTTAGTACACTTTCAATTATTATATAAACAATTATTCATGACTGGATACATCCACATATCATATGTTACAGTTACGGAATCCTCACATGTTAAGAAGGATGACCCCCGCCTGCCCCCTGAGTGCCTTGCCCAGCTTGTCTGCCATTTCTCTGGCCTCGTGTTCATTACTGTTGTCTGTCACCACATACGTGAGGTGTAGGTTCATGCTGTCATATGGAATGGGCTCTTGGTTTCGTGGCATGTCAATCTATCAGGGAGGGAAGGGGTATCAATTAGACAAATTGTAAAAGATTATAAGGAATTGAAAAACAATGCTGTAAAGTGAACATATGCATAGCTGACATCAAATGAAGTACAGTGTCATTCTACAAATAAAGGATATTGAAATCACAAACAAAACGCATGTATTTCATATGAGGTTTAAACAGGTTAATTTGGGAAAGTCGTGTACTTACATAGTAAGGTGTCTTAAGGGACCTTAGAAAAGCCAGGACATCTGAGAGAATGATTGGGTGTCGGAATCTCGTGTTACGACATGTCTTGTCTGTCTGCACAGTGACAACCTTCTCTTCCTCGGAACAGTGCAGAACCCAGAGGGCCGGCTCTTTCACTGTTTTAGCATCCCTACAAAAGAACAACAGGAAAAAGGTTTGTCTCAGCTAAAAATATTTTTCTACTAAAATTTTGTGCTTGCCAATGGTGTTATAACCGCTGCTGAATTGTACCAGCTAGAGCAAAATACCTTTTTCATCTCATTTATTGTCAAGAAATATGAAAGAAAAAAGTCACCTGAGATCAGCATCCTCTGCAACTTTCTTGTCTGTCGCGAAAGCAAATCTGTAGGTCGTACCATAGGCGAAGGCAAACTCCATGAACACTCGGTGCTCTTAGAGAGAAGCAATGAGAAAAAGGAGTCAGTAATCATGACTTTGAGATCTCCACAGTACAGACTGTATAATGAAAATGCTCTTAACACCTTAGTAAATATGTTAAAATCAACACAACTTGGATGCAGTAGTGGGCCCTTCAGCAGCAAGACGGTTAAACACCTTGGCATACATCTCATCATGATAAGCGTACAGCGGAATATTCTCTTCACTTACGTTTCCTGTCTGAAATGATTCTGACACAAAGGAAGTACATCAACTCACCGTATGTTCCAATTGCCCTCTGCCAGCTGAAGATGATGTCCCTGTCGCCCATGTACCTCTGCTGCTGGTGCTTCAGGTCTATCCCAGTCTGCAGTACTGGCACTTCTGATGACAGCAGCACTCTGGGACACACAAATCACTGTTAAGGACTGAAGTTCATCATAACACATATGATGCCATTCATTTCACTGAAAGGAGTTATAAATAAAACAGATAGCCAAAAGATTACAAAAAGTATCAACTGTTGATAGTGACTTACTGGAAAATGTTGGATGAGATGGAGTCTTTATCATACATTGTGTCCAGGGGAAACTTTGCCTCCACACGGTCATTTCTGCAGGGAAAGATACAGAGTACAAAAAATCTACACGGCATTTAACAACCTCAATACAAGGCTCTTATACATTAACCTGAGCTCTAGTTTACAATTTTTTGCATGATGACACACTTTCCTGTTTGGTCAGTAATTCTTGTCCAAAAGTCCTGATGAGACAAAATGACAAAAATAGTCTAACAGGGTTTAAGCACTGTCAAATATCATTTCAGGAGCAATTCCCAAAGGTTCTTCTGTATATGCAATTTGACTCTCGTCTCTTTACATAAAAAGGAATCTACATGTACACATGTAGTTCCAGACAGCTCCATGGTACAAACCTCAAGATGAAGACTGACTGGTCTACATCTGGTTTGTCACAGTATGAGGCCACTGGGTCCTGGTTACAGTTCACCTGCATGGGACAACATGGAAGGCAGTGATGGATGAAATCATTGGCAAACACCTTAGATAGCACACAACCTAGACATGGATTAACAGTACTAGTACTTAGTCTAGATTTCAGAAGTGCTCGATAAGAAGATACATGTAAATGTTGTAAGACTTGACTTGACTTGTAATGCCGTTACATGCAACCTTGATGTAACTGACATCCACAACATTACAAAATAGCTCAGCCACTGTGCATATTATTACGTATATGTATATAAAAATCGTTGATGTGAATGATGCTTATACAGATATATACAACAAGAATGTCTTTAAAATCTGAACCTACCCTTCCAAACTGCACCTGGTACGGTTTCATGAAGCTTGCAGACTCATTGAATGCTTTCAGGAAGTGTTGCAGCCGAGGCAACTCTGCCAGAGAAAGGAAAAATTAATCAAGATGACTGTAACAGCAGGCTCTCAAATGCAATTAAGTAGTACTACAACAATTGGAACCCTGTGAAGACAAAGGTCTTAATTACATCATGTCTTGCCCCCTGGGTAGTCTGACTACCTGGCAGCACTTCCATTGGCTGTCCCTAAATCCTAATCAGCCCCTGACAACAATCTTGAGGTTAAACAGGCTAGCCCCAGGGTACAAGAATGCAAATTGTTTTATATAAAAGGGGGTTGGGCAGGGATCGTCAACATAGGCATATCTTTTCACTACAAATTAGAAATGTAAAATTGTTGGAAACAAGTAACGTTAACATTGTTGACTTTATGATGTAACATTATGTAAATAACTTACTTACTGATTTATGAAAGTACAATGTATTAGATTAGGTTGTAACTTTTATTGTGCTTTATAGAGCATTGACTTGCAAATGCGTTTGGTTGCTCAAGATTCAACTGTGGCCAAAAAGCAAAAAATAAAAAATAAATAAATAAATGTCACAACGTTTAAGAAAGGAATATGCAAAGTTGTTGAAGCTCCATATGGAAGCGCAGAAGGACCTTGGGAAGGAAGAGTTTGATTGGATTGTTATGCATTTTTTAGTGTAGCCTAAACCTCCAACATAGCCGTCACTCGTATTATAAATACTATGATCGTTTGTCGGGTAACAGAATGGGTGTTAGAAAACAAACACACTCCCTTTGGTTTACAGGTGACCGTATACAATGTATATTCACAACAAAAAAGTTTCCGCCCCCATGAATCAACACACTCACGTCGCTTGTGGAAGTAGACGGCGGTCAGTGTGCTGGGAGATCCAACGAAGCCTTCAAACTCTGCTGAAGGCACGGTGTTCACCACTCCGAACTCCTTGGACGCCACCAGAGTCCAAGTTACGAGCAAAGTAACCAGGCAGACCAACACAGAAGCGTTCCCACAACCTGCCATGTTTCTCCAACAGACACGAAATTAACTGCTTCCTGGTTGAATACTAAGAAACTTGCGCAGTCGTGCGAGGCGTCGATTGGTCAGGCAATTTTGTGTCCTTGTGCTGCAATGTATATTTATTTCGCTAGATGTCACTACTGAGTGGTCAAAACCGGTGTCACCAGCAACAAGGCCTCCCCAGACTAGGAGACATTTTACCATATATGGAAGACTTTTTCCATATATGGTAAAAGGCCCTTCTACAACGGGGGGCCTGATGGTTCACGACACTGGCTTTTGGTGCAGTGATGCTTGTTCCGGTAGAGGGCACTTTTGAGCCATGTTCAGCCTCAACCTCTGACCCTGATTTTACTGAGGCGAGATGGAAGCATCTTTCCGAGAGTGCACCGGTTACGTGGAGTGTCATACAAGGATGGGTGTTATCTAAAAATGACTAAGGTAAACACTTCCGTTCTGATACTAGTGATAGTAACGTTAACTGTTGCTGTCCTTGTGCCGAAATTTGATTCTTTGTAATTAGACTCTATAGATTCTTTACTTTTGATGGCTTTTAGGTGCTCCATCATCATGGTAGCCATGTGGATCATGGACATGATGCTGAAGGTTACTTGGGTGATGACGACTGTTGGGTTTGCTGTGCTCCTGTCAGACTACCTCAGACTGCAACGACAACAGTGTACAGAAACTACTGGTGTACAAAATACAGGGAAGCAGGCAGCAGGTAGGTTTTCTGTATTCTTGCAGAAAATGATAGCTCTATGATATATGTCATATTGTGTGATTATTCACATTACAATATTTCAGTACTTACAACGAGCAATCAGTATCATACATTGCTACAGTTGGTGGAAAACCTTGCCGGAACAAATTATTATTGAATGAATGACGACCTTTATTGCACTGTAATACTTTCTGTCTCTGTTGATATCAAATATTTAACAGGTTTTCTTTCAGTGCTGTTTTGTCTTCTCTCCACAGAAAGGCCTCCCAAGCTTCCTGACGGTGACTATGTCCAACATGGGTCCTCTGTGTGGTGTTGGGGACACAACAACACTGACAGGATGTGTAAGTTCTCAAACCTCTGCTTCTCCCCGCAACATCAACAGTTTGTGTTCTTCCACGGCGAGCAGACAGTGACCCACGGAATCCACAACCGTTTCCACCCAGCTCTCGTGGACATGACCTCCATTCCTGACCACAATACGCAGTATTTCCAGTACGTTGACCTTCCAATCTCTGCGCTACAGGACTTCAAGAAAGTGAAGATCTACCAGGGAACCAGTTTGATCTTCAATAGGTTCAATCCAGATAACCTGATGCACGTTTTTCATGACGATCTCTTGCCCATTTATTTCACCCTTCGGCAGATTACAGCAAGTGACGTCGATCCTTTTAATCTCAACAGTAGACTAGTTATCATGGAAGGGTGGCGACCAGGGGAGTTCGTTGACCTTTATCAGATGCTCTCAACTGAAGACCTTGTCTTCAAACAAGAGCTGGGTAATTTAGGAGAACTCGTCTGTTTTAGCAATGCCTACGTGGGTTTGTCCAAGGCAACAACGTGGTATCAGTATGGCTTTAAGGTACCACAAGGCCCAAAGGATAACATCGCAGTCACAGCTAGAGACATCAGACAATTCACAGACTTCGTATGCACCAGGTTAGGTATAGAGGAAACAGGTGTTTCCGAGTCCAAATACATTGTACTGTTTTCACGTAGATTGAATAGGTTGATTGTGAATGAAGTGGATTTGACAATTGCTTTGGCAAGTGAGTTCAACATGAGGGTTGTAACACTGAGCATGGAGTCACACACTGTACCTCAGCAGATAGCAATTATTAGGAAGGCATCCATGGTAGTGGGGATGCATGGGTCCTTCTTGACACTTGCCATGTTTCTGCCCCCCGGTGCTGTGGTCGTTGAACTGTTTCCTTATGCTGTCAACCCTGAACACTATGTACCATACAGAACACTAGCCAACCTACCAGGGATGAGGCTAACATATGCAGCTTGGAGGAACATTGAACCACAAAACACAATCACACATCCAGACAATCCTTGGGACCTGGGTGGAATTGCACACTTGAATCCAGCAGAGCAAGATGCCATTTTAAGAAGTACGGAAGTTCCAAGACATCTCTGCTGTAGGAACCCAGAGTGGCTCTTTAGGATATATCAAGACACTGTGGTGGATATACCATCATTTCTTAAGACTGTACGAAAAGCTGTGACAGATGCAGAGGCAAACAAGCAAGGTAATGGAGGCACAAGTTCAAGTGATGATGATTACAAGAAAATTTATCCAGGCCCACCAGTTGATTTCTCATGCCAGTCTGTTCAATCATCAGATGGGCTTGTTGGATTACAGTTGTCATGGCAACCACCATGGAACCTGCCGTACCTTGATGCAAAAGATACCAAATACGAAGTGTGGATTCAGGAACAGGGTGAAGTAAGCTACATGCCATGGATTCTCCCCTTCACTAGCCATGTGTTTTCTGAAGGAATAGAGGCAGAACATGACTATAATGTGTGGGTTAGATGTATTGTTAATGACACTGTGGTAGGACCGTTTGCAGATGCTGTACAGTGTTCTACCTGAAAATTCTGGGTATATCCAATGTAATACAGCAAGTACTCTTGCAGAAAATAAGATAAGAAGTACCTGACTGTACATATTACCATGAGGTTGATGTGCAATAGAAATTCAGCTTAAAACTGGCTGGGAGGAATGATTGTACAACCTATCATCTAAAAAAAGTGCAATGCAGATGTGTAGTGAAGTATTTTATTGATAGGTCATGATTCTGTGTTCAGATTTTGGTATCAAAGCACAGTGTATTGCTATCATATAAATGTATTCTGAATATTTATATCATGTTCATATTACTGATTCTGCAAACATCTTCGTCATCATGCCTCCGGATTAATCCTTAAACTTCTAATCTTGGAAATTATTAACACTGTAAAATTACAGATATATGCATAAAATCCATAGCACTGTAATATTGAGGTTAGTTGTTGTATTTCTTAAAGTGGAAAGGCAAAATTAGACTGCACAAGTTTCTTCAGATACAACTGTAGGTATGTTCATTAGATTGCAAGGAGGACATTCTTACATGATGATTAACTTTACTATTGACAACTTTCTCACCTGAGAAGTCAGTATGGCTCATAATTTACATTTTAAAAATTATTTGCTACCTACCGGTAGTTTATTATCTGTTGTGTCTCGTCTTCTCATTAAATATGACAGGACCAAGATGCATTGTCGACCCTTACTCATTAATCGCTAATGATTTTACAAAAGACCAAGTTAAGAAATTCTAACCATCTCATGGAAATAATCCTAAAATGTCCATCACTCCACCCAGGAAATAATTCCTTCTTCTTTGCAAAAGCGAGCTAAAATCAAAAACATGAACATATTTTGTTTGCTGTCACACTAGTCCAGGCTCAGGACACTCCTCAGGTTTTTCATCATCTGGGCATGCTCAGTAGCAAACTGCAGTCCATCCACCACCATTCCCAGCTCGGCTGTCATCCCGTCTCGGAGACCGTGTTTTATCATGATGGACATCACCTTCTCTTCCTGTCAGGTCAAACAAACAAAAAAAATATCAATAAATTCTATGAAAATAAAATTTAAGATATGTGATACTCTCTGATGAAGGTTATTTCAAATCTAAAATCAGAACCACAAAACAAAGTGTCAAGCAAGTCAGCCAACGAGAATAGGAATAACGCTGATACATACTTTGTAGAACTTGACCAGTTACAAGTTAACAGTTGGAAATAGCTGATAACTATTGCCCTAAGAGAACTATGGTACAGATACTTTTAAAATATGTTTTCTGAAGAACTAAGCATAACTTATAGTTGATCAGGTACTAACCCTTTCCATTAATGGCACAGCACCAAGAAGTTTAGTAGAATCCCGTGGGAAGCCTACAGCCCTTCTCTGGTACCGGTCATGGATAGGACAAGCCCTCAGCACATACAGGGCAGCAGCGATGGCCCAGCCGCCCCAGTTGGACACCCCCGCAGTAATGGTATAGTCTGCGGGGACTGCGCAGGCGATCTGTGGTCCATTGGGGATGAACTGGTGAACTTTGTCCTGCAGCCTTCCCATGCCTAACTCATTACCACCATCTCCTATTCCTGTAGGGACAAAGTAGACCAATTAGCACTGATGATAGAGACTGTACAGCAATCAGCTCTTACATCCAGTAACAAACTTATAATTTTTCATGTACACTCATTTGAATTATACTTCAGGTTAACTGTTTACCATACTCTAGTATTTTATGATGTGAATATTAATTCTCACCAGTAGTTTTTATCCCTGGGATCTCCTCATTGGCCACATCAAACAGCTGGTCAATGGGACTGACCAATGAGGAGAGGTCCTTGGCCTTCATGGACCTGTAGGTGCCATCAGCTGCCCTGCCAACACGTTCTATGGCCACCAGGTGGTCATACCTGGGCCTGGAAATGTCCCCGTCATGTGTCAGGAACTGCAGGGCCACCTGTTTATCTGTGACCGTACCATTTGTAGGTGGGTAGGGCAGGACTGCCACGGGTTCTTGTAGGATACCTGAAAGACACGAGGACAAGCACTTCAGTAAGCTTTTAATTATTGTGAACTTCAATGAAAAACAAGTCTTGCTGCATTTCTTCTCTCCTTTGTGCAAGCACGTCTAACCCTCGGAAGACGGGGAACAACAGACGATAAACTGGACAGTGAGTGAGTGAGTGTGTTTGACACTGTGTACTGTTTTTTTTCCAATTTTGATATAACTCTTCTAGTAGCTGAAGACAGATGCCAGAAGCCGTCTGAAAGTCATGTGTACTAGTTTAAATCCTTACTGTTACTATTGATATACAATCTTAGATCACACACACACACACACCTGCCTGTACACAGTCCTCCACAATGTCCCTGATCAGCTGCAGCCTGTTAGTATCTATCACCATGGTAACCTGCTTCCCCAGGGCCTGCAGCATTGCTGCCATGGCAACAGCACCAGGTGGGCCATCATTTTCTTCTGGTGGGGTCAACTCTGTCAATCAACAGTATAAAAGTCACTGTCACATTAAATGATGTCTTTTGCAGTCTTCTTTCTGTTTTCAGGCTATTTTAGTGTTCCATCAAACATATTTACCATCAGCACATAAAACATTTGTATACTTCTCTAGGGCCTGCCAGTCTGCTGTCCAGGAAAGGGTTGTACCTGTGTGACAGGGGAAGCCAGTTGTGATGGCCACAGAGGAAGCATGAGACAGGGCCAGGGCACACCTCAGTAACTCCCCTGGGATGTGCAGGTGACTGATGCCTCTCTTTCCTGAAACACACAATATGATAACCAATTTCAACATGTAATTCCTGTACAAGATAGCACATTTTAAAGGAGTAAAAAGTCATGTTATCTGTTCTCTGTTGTTGGTTACTCTACTTACCATACATTGTAAGTTTAAAGTACATTTGTACCAGTAGTAACATTACCTATAGCACAAATTTACATTGTGGTATATGGCTAATGCTTATATATCAACAAATGGTACATTCCAAAGTGTATAAAGCAAGACATCAGAAACATTGAGACAGTAGAATCGAAGTAAGAGTATAGGATTTTAGTAGAAAGAACCATGTAAACTGTGATACTTGAAACTATTGGATAAACTATTGGATGGGTAAAGTGTAACCTGTGCTCAATCTAAGAAAAGATGAAGGTCCATTTTTCTGGTTATAAACATCTGTTTTAGATTTATATTTAGTGCGAAAACTTTAATCTCACCTGGATCAGCTTGTATCGCCTTTTCCAGTCGCTGTATTTGATCAACGGCCAGTTCTGATGCCGCACTATACAGCAAGGGTTCCTGGGATACCTGGACAACCTTGGGAATGTCAGCAGGACTTGCTGTTGTCGTAGGAACAGTTGCCATGACATCAGCAACAAACATGCACCCAGGAGAATGAGTGAAGGCTAGTGACGACTCTGCAGTACATGATAAAAACAATCAGTATTAGTGTTCCTTGCCACGGTCACAGTGAAATATACAGTAATAATATGTACTGTTGCAGTCAAAAATATGGAGTACTGGTAAATCATCTTCATCAGTCTTCTTACTAAATTTAATAGTTTAAATGTAAAGGAAAAATGATTTACTTGCAGACTGCACAGCAGGTTGTGTAGTGACACCACAACACCAGAACACTGGTACATCACCAGGATGGAAATCTACATCATCTCCCAAATGTTCTGCCCTCAAGTCTGGAATTCCTATCATTGCTACCATATGGAAAGGAAAAGAAAGTCACAACTTAGCTCTTAATATTATAAATCAGTAATATATGTGACCACTGTAAGACACTGGTCATTGACTTGAGATTTTGAGTTTCAGTACATGAGAACAATTTTATATCCAATCATGCAATCTATCCTGTGGATCATTTGACAGTCAAAATCATCCAAAATCAAAATGGTCACAGGTGATAAACAATGAACTCATAGCTCATCAAATTCTCATATAATTCAGTTTACTTTGATGATTGCTACAGGCAATTCTGATTTCATTCCTTAGACATTTCTTTTTTTCAATGAGATACACCAGCAAGAAGCATACTAGTACTTACTAGGATCACCAATGTGAATGGGAGCTCCATGCACATCAGGCATGTGGTGAGTGATCCTGTACACTACATCTAGTTTGTCTTCAGGGATAGGGCGCATGCTGAGGAACATCTCGCATTTAAAATCACCCACAGGGTGGCATGGAACATTGGACTGAAATGATAAAAAGATATAAATGGGAGATATAAAAATATTTGTTTTTGACAACATGTGATAATTTAGCAACAATCAGAAGACTTTTCAAATACTTTGAGTGACGATAGACAAAGCTTGATGAGAAAACACATAAACACAAACACACAATCCACAAGCAACATTTTGGACCAACCTGGTACATGGACACCACGACCCCCTGCTCCACATTTCTGATAGGAACACCTGCTGACATAGCAGCATCCTCAAACGAGAAGCTGCAGCCCACGTAGAAGGTCACCATGTCCTTCAGCTGTTCTGTGAACTGGGACAGATCTCCTGCCTTCTCTGTCAGTGTACCGTCCCTGTACACACTGTACAATGACACATCCGTCCTGAAACAATAAAATCATCAGTATCAAATTATACATTATCATTAATCTGTCATTACATAGTCATCGGTTTGATATCACCATGATACATGTGCCACTATTTTGAATCTAATGAACTTTTACTGACTTAACAATAGAAAAACATATGGGAAAGTATTGGGCAGTGACACTTAGCATATCATTCTATTCTATTCTATTCTATTCTATTCTATTCTATTCTATTCTATTCTATTCTATTCTATTCTATTCTATTCTATTCTATTCTATTCTATTCTATTCTATTCTATTCTATTCTATTCTACAAAGATCAAACTTTCTTGATATTGTAAATCTCTTCAGCTTGATGTAAAAAAATGGATGATTTTGTAGGGAGACCTGTTGTCATTGTGCATAATGAATTACCTTGGTTGATTCACAGTAACTTCAAGACTGCGGAATATAATACATGAGAACCAATTAATTACAAATGTACTAGTTTATAGTATGTTATTTGTTTGAAATTACCCACCTGATGTCAGAGTCCTCAGCAAGTGGAGGTGCCCCATACTCACCAACCTTGCTCATATACAGTAGGGGGAGTGGCCCTGCATTTGCCTGACAAAACCTCTCAAAATCTTGTGCCAGGGACTTGTGTACAATGGCAATATTGGTCTGTGTTCTGCCTATTTGATAAAAAAAACAATTGATAACTGCAAAGTTTTGCAATAATTTGCTCTCATTTGTTGATTCAGAATAAATGTAACGTTAACTGGTAGATGTCTTTCAAGATTATCAAGTTGGATCATTAAAATTTCCCTCTTAGTAAATTATCACCTTGTTCATTTTAAGGTTTTGAGCTGCCTTGTTAAATTTCTTGTTAGTTTCTTGTTCTATGTGCTATATATTACTGGACCAGGTATACAATGTATCAACTAAAATCTGCGTATACCTTTGCACATTCCAGATGTACACTTGCCATGCATATTTCCACTTCTGATCAAACTTCTCAAGTCTTTGGGGTGCATTTTTTCCATCGAACCGTCAGATGACATGTTTACTGCTGGACTTCTGACACAAAATTTTTCAACACAAAACCAGTCTTGCCACTGTCTCTGGTGATCTCTCGACACCTTGAAAAGATGTCTCAGGACAACTTGCGCTTTATGCATCTCCTGCACTCATTTTGGCTGTAACGCGTCCGTTGTAGAGAAAGTTAGAAATGCATTTACTTTCTCCATCAGACTTTACCCTCCGTGTGTTGACAGTGTTCCTGACCTTTGACCCGTTCCACTGCATCACAACGCAAAAATTTTGACGAGGCTTTAATTCCAATATTTCCTTCGTACAAAATTTTTCTCTAAAGAAAATTTTCGTGCTATATTTTTATATCAATAAATGCCTCATTTGATCAAAATAAACTTCAATATTGCTTTGAAATGGAATTACGTTTTATTGCGTTTGCTGGCGGTAGACCAATGGAAGACGTTTCAGTACTGAGTGTCAGGTGTGGGATTATGTTATCCTGCAACCAGGTAGTATAGCCTGTAACTGCACATTTCACGATTCTTCATGCTCTTATAACGGATGGCAGAGCTCTGGCACTTCCCTGCACTTCTAGCGGTGATCTGGGGACCTGTCGGGATCTTTCTGTACGGAATCTTCTTCACAGACCACGGAGAGAAGGCAAGTGGTCGTTTGAAAATCTTCGCCCCTCCCCTCCCGTTTACCCGCCTTGTTCGTGTAAACGGTCTGGTTTTATCCCGCTTACTGTTGACTTTACATACAGGCGTGGCCCGAATACAAGGACTGGTTAAATGTTTGTGGTTGTTTTACATAGCTGATTTATCATTCAACCTCCTTGGTACTAGAGACGACCCTTGGAAACGTTGGTATGACCGTATGTAAATGTGTAGGTTACAGCTTAGTATGAGTGGACTCCAATTACATGGTTACCAAAGATACCAAATTCCACGGGTATGGTTTTCAAATAAACCACTTGAAACAAGGGGTACTTTGATCCGTAAATCCTTTACTGGTACACTATGGCATGTACACGAGCCATAGATCATGACATATATACCTAGTACTAGTGTGCTTTATTTGGTTAACCACTTAAAACTATCAATGGGTGAACTTGGCACAATCACATTCCTAGCAAAGGAAGCTGTCACTGTTTTCTTCCCATTTCTCATTGGTAGTACAAATGTCATCTGCCTATTGTAACTTTCCTTTGTTGTCAATATGATAAATTACGTGTGCAAAATGTATGATGAAATATGAAGAAAAATAATTTCCTGTATTCCTTCTCAGGGCTTTCCCTATGGATGTGTTGACCCTGCCTACTGGTGCTACTACAGTCTGCTGATCCCAATCACTGCTCCTGTTGCTGTGTTCTTCCTGTTTCTCAACTGGCTGGGTCTCAAGTTCTTCAGACACAACTAAAGAGAAATCATCCTTGAAGACTGAGGAGGAACTGTTGTAGTACTTTAAGACTTTCACAGACTGTTGAAGAGCTGGCAATATTACAGAAATCATACATGATATATGTTGAGGCAGAATCTTATTCATGGTAGGCAGATTCTAATTCTTTAAAGTACACGGGTAGTTCTGTAGATACAGCACAAATGGTAATCATGGTGGGTAGAAGCTCAGGAGGCCTGACTCCAGTCCTGAAACTGAAGGTCGATGAACTCTTCATACAATGGCTGAGTGATCCTGATACCCAGCAGGACCTGAGGGAGACCCTTCAACATGTACAGTTGGGGGAGGGGGATCTCCTCATCACCAGCTCTCCTCAGAAAGCAGGAGTTTCCCCTCGATCTCTCCGACCAGCATCACCATCCACACCACCCGCTTCCCCCACCCCGGGAAAGATGGTCAGTCCACGTAGCCCACGCAGGAGAAGCTTCAAACGGCAGCTGCCAAAAACACCACCTGTCAAAGAGAAGCCCAAAGGCACGCCGGTGTCATCTGTTGGTGCTCGCATACCCCAGTTCTACTTCCCTCTTGGACGCCCCTCTCCAAACAACAACATAGAGACCATCTTACAGAGAATCAAGCAGACATTTGAAACATTCAAAGATGGGAAGGTGTTCAAGTCTCAGTTTGCTGCAATAACAAAGGCTTGTGGGTGCCCCTTGTACTGGAAGGCACCACTGTTCCTTGCAGGTGGGGGTGACAGAGCTCCCTATGTTACAGCCAGTAGCTTCATCCCTGTATGGAGGAACATTCTCACGACATGCCACGATGATGCATCCAAGTTTATACGCCTGCTTGCCAAACCACAGCCTGGTAACACAAAGGGGAACTACATTGTTGCAGAAGATGTCATTCCCTTTGTACAAGACTTGATTGACACACATCCAGGATTGCTGTTCCTGCAAGAAGCACAAGAGTTTCACTCCAGATACCTCCATACTGTCATAGCAAGGATCTTCTACAATGTCAACCGGTCCTGGTCAGGAAAAATCACAGTGCCAGAGCTAAGAAAGTCCAACTTATTACAGGTACTTTGTTATGGGTTTATTTTTGTTTGTCATTGAAGCAAGAAAAAATTAAATGGTCTTGTGACAATGCAAGAAATGTGCTTCAATTAAAAAACAAGCACATAAAAAGTTGCATTAAGTATACATAGATGATGGAACAAGGTCACAGATAATGATGATTTCTTTTTTTGTAATTGTGTTTCAGGTTATTGCCACATTGGAAGAAGAAGAGGACATCAACCAGATCACAGACTACTTCTCGTATGAACACTTCTATGTCATCTACTGTAAGTTCTGGGAGCTGGACACCGACCATGACCTGTACATCAGCAAGGACGACCTGTCACGACACAATGATGGTGCCCTGTCTCCCCGCATTCTGGACCGCATATTCTCTGGTGCTGTCACAATGGGGAACAGTATCATCCGAGACGAGCGCATGGGGTACCCGGACTTTGTCTGGTTCCTGTTGTCAGAGGAAGACAAAAGGTACCCAACTGCCGTGGAGTACTGGTTCCGCTGCATGGACTTGGATGGTGACGGGATCCTGTCCATGTATGAGCTGGAGTACTTCTACGAGGAACAGTACAACAAGATGGAACAGCTGGGAATCGAACCCATGCCATTTGAAGACTGTTTATGCTCAGTACTGGACATGGTGAAACCCAGACGTGAAGGCAAGATAACACTTGCCGACCTCAAAGCCTGTAAGATGACCCACATCTTCTTTGACACCTTCTTTAACTTGGATAAGTACTTGGATCACGAGCAGAGGGACCCGTTTGCAGCAGCGAAGGAGGCTGAAGAGACGGCAGGCATGTCAGACTGGGAGAAGTATGCAGCTGAGGAGTATGAAATGCTTGTTGCTGAGGAGAATGCCAGTGGAGGTCAGGGACAGGACCCGTATGATGACCAGATCCCAGAGGAAGACAGTGGCTTTGACTTTGGGGTGGTTGATGATGATGATAGTTGGTCATCTAATTACTGATGTGTCAAAAGTAAAGCATTCTGACATCACAAGTACAAAATATGCTTCAATATGAGTTTAATTTTGCCAGAAATACAATTGTATGAATATGATAGTGAAAAGTTGGTTGTAATGACTTAGCATGTTCAAGTGATGAAATAAGAGACTGCCCATGCATTGTTTGAACTTGGTGCAATTCTACCAGCATATCTTTGTATCTCAAGTTGTGTACATCTGAGACCAATACATGTACATGTGAACTTTTTCAGAGTTGCATATACATTGTCACTATGCACAGGCTGCAACTGGTACTTCATCTCTGTTTTATATTCATTTGGAAATGACACCCACCAATGATATTTAAGTAAAGCAGTCAGATTTCAGTCAGCAATATCAATTACATGTATTGTCATGGTCTTCAAAAGTCAACATGACAAATCTCAACCCTGTTATGTTGAAAATCATAAGAATTTTTGCCATGGGTACAGATATGTGGCGAAATGAACAGTCACACTCTAGGCTCTGTCAACCATTGCAGCTGACTTGTACTGTCAGATTAATATGTGTCATCTGTTTTTACTGAAAGCTCTATGTAATTTGTGTTTGCTCCCTTTGTAGTAAAATGTATCTAAAATCTGTGCTGGAAAAGTTCCGTGCTTTTCTTTCACTGCTTGCCAAATATTATCAGTGAGTGTGTATACGTTTGACACCACAGTGCAAATGCATATCACAGAAAAATTAGGTCCTCCATCAATTGCTTTTACCTAGTACCTCAAAATTACAGTTTTTCTTACGGCATCTGTGGTAGGATATGTACTTGCTGGTTGCAATCTACATGTACTAAGAGTATTTTTGATAGCTGTATTGCACGTAAATTGTATTGCATATGAATAGATGTGTGTTTTTGACTAATGTTTTCTTTTTCATTTTTGTGAAAAATATTTTGCTTATCGTAAACATTTCTGATGGAACTGGTACTAGTCATTAACTGATTAAAATTCTCAGTTGTACCATGACGAATGCTGTGTCTCTTACTGTTTGAGTGAATTGCTTCTGTCATAATTTATTGAATAATTTTGGCAATATTTAGTATTTCATTTTCAGGAGCAGTAGCCAATGTCAAAGACTTATCTTATTTAAAAGTAGCAAGGATATACTTGTTTCATTTCAGTGTTGTACATTGTACAAATTTTTAATCCATTTAATCTATTCATATTTGAGAGGGATACATTTTAGTAATCACCAATTCCAAACACTCTAGATATTCTGTGAAAACTTCAATTTTCGGACATAAAGAGTAGTCAATTATTTCGCTACTGTTTAGCCATAAATCGTGAAATAATTTCTTTCTGCCCACCTGAACCCGGAAGTGTGTCGTGTCACCACGTGACCTACTCCCATAGTGCACTAGGCAGTTGGGTGACGTCATCCTAGGTTTCCTCATCGTTTTGGGAGTCGAGTCTACAGATAACTTGGCCGCAAAGATGTCGTACGCGTACCTTTTCAAGTACATCATTATAGGCGATACAGGTAAGAGTGTTAGAGATTCTATGTGCGCCGATGTGGTGAGAAAATAGCTGACTGTTGGGGCAAAATGTGGACGGAAAGTGTCGGCTCTGATGGCGCAGGTTGTCACGTCTGTCTTTAAACATGGCCGCTCTGCTCATTCGATTTACTTCGCGACGTTTGCTGCGGATTTGACGTCTTCTTCTACCATGAAAGTTTGGTACAGGCTATGTGTCATACCCGAGCGACATCTGTCCTTCAGAAAGAGGCAGATTCTGTACGTCCTACCGCTTCCAAAATGGTGATGTTTTGGTCCAAAACAAAATGGCGGCACACCTTTCGAAAAGGTTCAAATTTGCATGCATGATGTTTCTGTCGTCAAACTCATAGTCCATATTTTACATTGGCCTTTGCAGACTTTACTGTTTGAGCTGATTTTGTCAAACTGACGTATTATGTGTTGGGAACGTAAATAGAAAATGTACCAGATTATTCAAGCGGAAAAATCAGCTGACCTGTAAAAGAATTACTAGAGTATGATGCTCACGTCACCTGTTGTGTTGAAACCTTTGTGTTCAACCCTACACTTTCACTGATATAGAATTATAAGTGCAGAATGGATGTAGAATAAATTTAAACGATTTGTAGATGGATAGGAATTTCTTCCAGGACTCATCTCGCCTAGTACATCTAAGATGATTAGTACAGACCATAACCCACATCAGCATGCTAGTGTGGTGTCTGAACACCAAAGAAAGAGCTTCTCTGAATGCCTGATTACTACCTTGGCTGAATGTACCTTTACGGTATCAACCATGCTAGACCATAGCTATCATTCTCACTTATTCCTACTGTTACACCACATACTACACACTGCAATTTTTCAACTGGCTGATAATTGGCCAAGGGAAGACAGTTCCTCGTTCCTAGTTGTAGTAATGCTAGCTTGTACTGTTGGGAGGATTATAATCATTGTGTTCGGAGATGAATAGCGTTTTCTTAAGAGGGAACAGTGCTTCTTGTTATCTTAAGAAGTATTTATATGTTAAAACTACAGAATCGTGTGTAAGATGTATCTTTAATACAACGATTTAATGATTGCAGGGGAAACAACAACCCATTGTTACAATACAAGGGAAGGTTCCAGCGTTACCAGTTTCAAAGCCTTTTGGTTTTACCAAGAAGGTTAAAGCTTGGTTTTACGGATCAGCTATAGGAAAAGTCCTGGCTTATATATTTTTCATGTACAAGTGTTTGTATTTCTTTAGTTAGCAAAGAATGAGTAATATCTACATTTAAAACTGTGAGATCCTACAAAACACCAGACAAGAGTTTGTTTTCTTTTAGAATTTAAGAAGATTATCCTTACCACATGCGAGTGTTTCCAACTAGAAAAATAGTATTGGATGGCAAAAGACAAAACAACTTGTATACAAATCAAAGCAGACAAAGGCCCTTAGTATCAGCCTAAATAAACCTGACACTACAGAGAGCAGGCATCAAGATTTGCAGTTTTTGTCGTTTGTATCACTTCAGCCAGTGTTTGGTCTTGATTTACCATGTTTGTTCATTACGTGTTATCAATGCAACCAACCATTTACCACATTTCATACTTTCCAGTTATACACATGGCTGGTTATTATTGTGCCATTGTGTCAGCCCAGTGAAGTGACAGATGGTACCAAAAGATAAAAACAGCTTATGAAATGAATAGTCATTGGTAAATTATAATGTATGTAAACAGTATAGTCTTTATCACTTACTCCCAATATCCTGCCCATAACCAGATAACCATTCATATCCTTGTTATTCTCTTTAGCACTGTTTTAAGCCATTACTTGGGCCATTTGGTTTTAAGTAAGATTTGTTTACCTAGCCTAGATTTTTGTTTTTTGTGTGGTGACGTCAATACTGTACTTTCTTACCTTCTGCAATTGAAAGCCCAGGTCAACACTGGTATCCACACCTAATGTACATTGTAGTGTGGTCAGAATTTGAGATCCCACATTAACAGTAGGTAACCATCTGCCTTCACACCTTTGATTTATGAATTAGTTATACATCATTGTATGTTTGTTCAGCATCTCATATTACTCCCTCCGTGCACTAGTGGTAACAAAGCCATTAACGGGTGTAGACTAGTGGGCTTTCAGAAAGCGGCTCCTTGCTAAAGAAATATACAGGTTCTATAACAAGATACATTAGGAACTGTTGTGAGGTATTAACTGACAATGTAATTGGTATTTGTCTGCTGAAATATTCATAAGGTGCCAAACTCTGTGGATCATTCATATGCAAAGTACCTTTTGTTATTTTGGGGGCATTGGAACTGACAGGTGGTTGCAGGTGCATTGCACAGTTTGCAGGTGTGTGAAATAAAATTCAGCAGTCGATCAAGTGGAATAAAATGTTATTTTAATCACACCAAGTACTTAGCCATGTCTTTCACAATATCATACACAAACATAACCTACAAATACATAGTGCAACGGAGTATCCACAGAAACGACAATGTAAATTTAAAGTGATTTATTGCTAATGTTGTTACAACACCCTCTTACTGCACTGTTGTTAGTAATGTTAATACCCAATGGGCCAATATGACGAATATCTATAATCAATATAAATTTTAGCAATGTGTAATCAATTAACGTTTTAATAATAATACCTTTGGACAGCATATTTAATGATATCTTGTGTTGATCACAGATCCAGTAAGGTTGCCTTGCGAGTCTGGTATCAGAGTGTACTGTGTATATAATAATATATGTATGAGTTTCTATCTAAGTCTACACATTGTCAAGCCATGTTTACCATGCAAACGCAAAAGCAAAATATGCCTTGTGCACAGATTATTAGTGTATTGTATTGTTTGTTGTGTTTTTAACATCCAGGCTGGAGTAGGCACAATGCACAACAAAACAAGACCTCTGTTTCTTAAAATGCCCTGGAGACTTTTGGTTGTGTTGTATGTCCATATCCGAGTTGGGATTAAGGCCGCAGCAACAACATCACATGATGACAGCAGTTGGAACCTTTCTCCTGATAGACCTTGAGTGCAAATTTGGCCACAGACCAAGACAAGTCTGTAGCCAATACTGTTAGATGTCCCCCAAACTGTGCTGACCCATCGTTTTTCACGGGGCAAGACTTCAAGGTGGCAGAACACATTTTATCACCAGGGTTTCCTAGATGTTTTACATTGTCCATTAAAAGAAAGCATTTCCGTAGCATGCAAATGAAAGTAAAAAAAAACATTGAAAACATTTTGTAATTCCTTATCATAGATCCAGTACAAAGTAGCAGACTTCCTTGTTCAGTATAGCATTTGCATGTTCAAAATAATGCAAATTATAGAATCACTATATGTTTAGAAATAGTGTTGTTGACTTGCGTACGTTTTGTGTTTTCAGGTGTGGGAAAATCCTGCCTACTGTTGCAGTTCACAGACAAACGTTTCCAGCCTGTTCATGATCTCACAATAGGTCAGTATAGTCTTACAGTGTACATAGGCAGGTGCCTGAGCATGCCGTTCCTTGCAGTCAGGGATGACACATTCCAGTTGTCCATTCTTCCAGTGGTTTGACGTGTTTGAAGTTTTGTATCAAATGTTACAACTAAAAACCAACTGTGTTTACTATGCAGGGCAAACACATGTTTGGGCACAAGATAGTCAAATTTAGCTGTAGCTGTCTAAAAAATCATTTTCTTCTGACAGCAAAGCATGATGTTCAATGTGTTTGTGAAACCTATGCATACTGTATACTGGTACAAATAAAACTTGAGAGATGGTTCCTAGTAGAATTTGCATATTTGTTGATATTAGCCCTGAGGTAAAATTATTTGCTGTATTTCTACTTTCTGGAGTAATTGTGTATGTCTGCACTGTTCTCCACATCTACATTGTATCTTCTCTCTCAGGTGTCGAGTTTGGTGCTCGGATGATCACGATTGACGGCAAGCAGATCAAGCTACAGATCTGGGATACGGTAAGGATCTCCACTATGAATGAATGCATCTCAACAATGATTCTTCATGTTTGTGGAATGTATGAAGTCATATTTTATATACCATCACAGTTTGTACTTCCAATGAAAATGAACCATTATAGAGATAGGTGAACGTACCTTTATCATAATCACTCAAACATACTGTGATAGGTCATGTTTTCCATGCTTATATGTTCTTACCGCTTATATGTGGGTAGGCATTGCATGTATGATATTACAGGTGACTACATTGTGTTTTTGGTGATGCCTTAGGGGCGGGAGTGGGGAAGAGTTGAGGAAGGGTTAGACTAGGGGGAAGGGGAAGATTTGAGGAAGGGGTAGAGTGGGAGAGGGGGAAATATAATTTATTTTACAAGCATCATCATTTCCTCATTCAGTGGACAGTTCTCCTTAGTGTGATACAACATTTAGCTGCTAGGAGGCACTGCTGGCACATAGACTATAGAGTTTGAAAAGCCAGATTTGTAGCTGCAGTACTCTCATCTGCCTCTAGGAAGAGCTCTTGTCTATAGATGGCTTCTTGAAGTTTAGAAAATGCCCTTGCTGCAAACAACTGCATTATGATTACATTCTTGTGTTGTGTAACAACAACATTGTGTTAAGCACATGCTATTTTTACCTTTTTTACCATCAGACTTTAACCAGAAAGAATTATACAGGGTTCCAATTTTCTCAAACACCCCATGACCAGAATCACCTGAATGAAGAGAATCTAGCGTGCATGTCATAATTAACATAGTTTGACAACAACCATTCATGTCAAATTTTTCGCACAAGACCATGCCATCTTTCAAACTGAGAGTTTCCCTTTTCCAGCCTTAAAACAGAGGCTCTAAGCACTTTTACCACCATCCATTTTGAGGATGAAATTTCAAAAGCCACTAAGTTTTGATCCTCAAGGTTTAACCTTTAGTAAAAGAGTCCCAACCATGTCTGGATTCATAACGTATATCATGCTGGATGAAAAGAAAGCTAATTTGCATAATCCAATGATGCGGTATGGAGCCAAGGAGATAACCTCATTGCAGGTTCATTTCCCGACCTCATTATGCACGGTTATAAAGTGTAATCTGATTTCCTGCTGAAATTGACTTTTATGTAAATGTCATGTCGTGCCATATGGCTGGTAATAGATCACAGATTGTCGACCTTCTACACACCTTATCATATGTAATATAGAAAAGAAGTCATCTAGATTATCATTGTTAATTGCACCATCACAATGTTATACAAAGTGTATAGAAATTAATGTTGTGTCAAGAGGGTTAGGAAATTTGTTTTCGTAATCACAGGGATGCTGGCTATGATCTGTATTTTGTCTACTAATTAGGGAGTCTTATTTCCCTTGAAATTAAGGCAATTAGGTTTAAGTTATCTTCTTCACAACAGATATTTAAAACTGAAAGGAGATATGGAAAAGTAAGAGGATACATGAAGTCCAAGGTTTTATTACCATGGAAAATGATGTTACGTTTTCTGTAACTATGTTGTGTTGTACACAGGCTGGGCAAGAGTCATTCCGATCCATCACACGGTCATACTACCGCGGCGCGGCGGGCGCTCTTCTCGTCTATGACATTACAAGGTCAGTGTGGACCGAAACTTGACGGCATGAAACCTGATCTTTTCTGTCTGTGAACATTAAACTATTGGCAAAGAAACTCCATAAGAACTACACCTTGTAATGTGTGTCCTTGTTGTTTTGTTTGTCACCATACTGTGATATACTGCGACCCATTTCATGTCCCCACCGGGACAATATTTCCCATCCAGTGATCTGGGCTTTACCTGTTAAGCCTGATCTGTAGATGATATTAGATTTTTACACCGAGGCCATGACCTGTAAAAGGTGCAACTGTGGATGACATATTAAAGCTGCAGAATGCTGCTGAACCTGGACCATAGTGCCTATCAATCATGATAGGTGTGTGCAAGGGACTGATTTGAAGCTTAAGTATGTTGGACTGCTACTACTACAGAAGTCTGTTAAAGAATATTTTACCCCTGCAACTTTTTCAGGCGGGACACGTTCAACCACTTGACAACCTGGCTGGAGGATGCCCGCCAACACTCCAACTCCAACATGGTCATCATGCTCATCGGCAACAAGAGGTATAATCTAGCTTACTCTACACTTTTGTTCACAGTTTGGCAAATATTTTTCACGCTCCATTCATTATTTATAGTTAAAGTTTCTACGGATTTCTCCTTCACACAGCACTGTTTAAGGTATTAGCAGAGAACACTGCAATATTTACATGAATGTTTTGTTTTGAAACAACTCCTTCTCATTCTATACTTGATGTGAAGCTATGGTAAAGTTTTTCCTTTAAAATGCACTAGAATCTGTTTTAGCTTCCATATTCTTTCATGAGAGTAATCTTTATAGACTCCTCCTTTTTTTACTAAGAAAAAAATCCAGCAATGCCGAAGCTTTTTGACTGTAGATCATGATATTATCAACCCTCTTTTGTGTTCCTCTGTTTATTGAAGAGCCCATTTTCCATGTGTTTACCACTTCCCTTCTGTGTTCATGTTTCCCCCAGGTGTAGAAAGCATACTTTATAGCCTGTAATATTAGTGGCTGGGCATGTTCCATGGGAAGGTGGTACACCCAGCCTGATGAAAACCCCTCCCCAGTTAATGCCGGAGCCTCTCTGGGGACAAACCTTTGCTGATTGCCTCGCCACTTTGTGGGATTTTCATCACTTTTTACTGTCACTTTGCGCTGCGTGGAGCCGCGATATGATCCAACATGTCCTGACGGCATTGTTTTTATGTGTGAGATCAAATCAATTGTGCTCCAAACATCTCTATCCCTGTCCTCATATAACAGAACATGGGTATAATACCGGTACTTGTAAAAACAGCTTGTTGCAGTCATCAGCCAAGAAGAGGATGATTAAAAAAAAATTTTTTTACTAAATTTTAAAGTTTCCTATGCTTACATCATGTAGAAATATGTACCAAAGAAGCAACAGAAATACATTTGTAGTTGTCTTTTGTATGGGAATGGTGCTATACATATTATAAGGTACAATATATTACTTCAGTTGAAAGCAGACATTGTGTAGACATCTATGTAATATCAATGTGGAATGTCTACACCCTTCATATTATAGTATTAACTTCTATCTGCCCATGCGGATGGCATTATTAGTAAGCCCTATGCAGATTGCTAAGGTAATCATCATAACCTTTCCACAAAGGAGCTTGAGACGTAATCCAAAATAATACAACCATTATAAAAAGCTCTTCGCGGAAAAATCTTGAGCACCTGCCAGAAAACCACATCTCCGTTCAACATAATAATCGTTATGTGTTAACTGTTTGTGGGCTGGTAATATGTAGAGTAATGGAGACATACGTAAAGGTTGTGTGCCTGATTTTACTCATGTTATTCGGCATGGCTTTAGTGCGGACTAGTGGCGCCCACTAACTCTGTTTTTATGGCACGGTATATGAGAGGTCTAATCTGTTATTATCAGTGCCCACTTCAACCCCTCCAGGGAATACTTATAGTTGAAAGGTCATTAAGTGTTCTACAGTGAATCACTTTATATTCACTGCACAAGAATTTATACATGTATCCATGGCATTTCTAGGAACAGGTTGAATGGGCTGTTACATATTTTGACAGTATCAAGTTGTAAGAACTTCTTTTTTATACGTAATAAGCTAGGTAAATATATACGATTTATATTGGTAACATCACATCTGGGCTATGCCATATTGAAATACTTGGATTCCGACTTGGAAGGAAGAGCTGGACAACATCTCACATCTGGAGTCAACTTGGAAATTCCTAGAGAAAGAAATAAAACACAAGGTTAATTGTATGCCAGTGAAACACACCGTAAATGCTTGAGATCATATAAAATCAAGAGGGAGTAATATTGAAATTCTTGTAAAATTAATACTAAAAAGTTAGGGTAACAGTTTTTTTATTAATCTTAAGCTTTCAAACAGGCTGCTTTTTGTAGCTGCTCACCTGCTGCCAAAAATAATCTCAGTAATTAGTTGAACTGACAATGTTGTATAAAAAAAATGAACTGACAATGTTGTATAGTACCATTGAATGTATAGAAATGTAAATATGCGGATTGAGCTTTGATATAGCACAGGTGAGTGCAGAGAGAAGATGGGATAATGGTTTTTGGAGCCGCTCACCTGTTGCCCCCAGGTGAAATGGTGAATCCGACAGCTGTCTGGCTTGCGATGTTACCTGGAACAAAACATGACATCATTACCCTACAAGTGTTTTCCCAGAACTTAGAAAATATGACTAAGCCATTACGTAGGCACCATGAAACTCAGCTTGTAAAATTGGCGAGTAATTTTTAGATGATCGTTTTTCGTTTTATTGGTATACTAAGATTTTAACACTAATGGACATTATCGATTGAATATGATATGAAATAGTGCAACATTTTAGAGGTTTCGCCCCACTGGTTGCCTGCTGTTAGGAGGTGGGAAGTTGAAATTCATAGTTGTTTTTCCCGTCTGTTTGATACTTCTTAAATTTTCTTGTGTTCAAGTTATAAATATTATGTAGACATACAAATAATATTAGAAAGTGCAAGGTATTCGGCAGAAAATAAATGTTGAGGGGTGGATTTATTTCAAGAAGCATAGAAATCTTGTTTGACACAATTGGAATTTAAAAGTCAAAGATGTTTACAAAATACCTTAATTAAACCTCCTTTATGCAGCAGGCAACATCCATGCTGAGTGCATGTTGTAAATTTCCATTCTTGGATTTTTCCCTAGGCTACAGACCATGTAAGAGTAGTAGAATGTTACCATCAACCCAGCCTACACTCCCAAAGTACAACCCCTATGTATGAATGATCCACCCCAGTTCTGCTAGATCTCTCCATGTATGTATTCTGCTGGAATCCCAATCCTCCTGGGGATTTACCAACATTTAGTAATCCATTGCAGCAGGCCTGCTGGATTAGCATGCCACCTGCCCAGGGTCTGACCTACTTTTCACTGCCATTAGGGGTGAGGTCATCATAGGTGAGGAGAGTGAAATATCCAATCAATCGCTCATTCCATTTGGTATCATCTGCCCACAGTGTTTAGCTTGTGGCAGCATCCATCAGGGTTTGCTGGGGAACTGCTCATGACAGCACCCAACATTTCCCTCTGTGTGTCCCCGGCATAACCTTGGCTTGGCGTACGCAGAAGGATCTCTCACACAGATGGTGCAGGATTATTGGATGAAAAGAGAACCTTATTAAGAGGATTAAGGGCTGTTATGCACGAGAGTAGAAAAATTAGATAAAGCTTTTGGCATCTTCAACGTTGTTGATAACAAACACAAGAAGTAATTGGATTTTCAAAACACCATCTATTGATAGCTCTATTTACCCATTTTTATGCCTGTATATGATAATGACCTGTTTACTGTATACAGTTACCATCGCTGTCATATATTTTGCAATGGAAGGAAAAGAAGTTTTTTTTTGCATTTCTTTGAAGTTGAAACATTCTATATGTAGTACAGTAGAAGCATAAAGCACATATTCGTTATAATTTCGTTATTTTGTCACAGCGAAAACTGGAAAATAAAACCACCCAAAAAAACACAAAAGTGTGTGCATTAAATTTTACAGTATGAAGACGAGGATGACATTGCCCCCATGTTTGTATTTCCTCTTGACATTGATTGGAATCAAGTAGACTCTATGACCTGAGCACTTGGTCATAACATCATTAGCATAATTTAGCTAATCCACAGGGATTAGGAGATAAGAGGTACATATTTGAGACAGCTTATAGTAAGGATTGTGACACTATGTTTTGCAGCTTATTGGTATGATACACATGCAAAATATTTAGTAATAGATACTTTATTGGTATATTATTTATCATAAACCTATGTGGTTACCATTTGCCACCATGAAATGCATCAAAATATCTACTTTAGTTGAAGCCTCGTTGGGAATTTTGTTCACAAGACCTGCCTGAAATAGAACATTCACAAAGAATGATGTATGCAGAAATGTTGCATTGGCCCATTAATTTCATTACAAAGCTCATGCTAAAATTTTGTTTGGGTCTGTTAGGAGACATTTATTCTTCTTGGACTGTTTCATGTTCTCTACTTTTGTAGAATTACTTTTCACAGTTATTTTCCATTTACTGTATACTGGAGATGAGTTAATAATGTTTTACCAGTTTTACATCTAACCCCATCTGTACCACTTCTGAATCATCCCTGTTTTAGGAAATTAGTGGAACTCCCCTTGGTCCCCAGCACACCTGCTCTTTCTACCCAGACATTAGTCAGACTTGTTGTTGAACAGTGTGGGTCACATGTCTCCCCAGCAGGCAGTCTGTCTCTGGATAATGCACTCAGCCTTTACTCCCCAGTGTGAGCCTGCTGCACTGTTTTGTTCCCAACTCTGCGCAGAGAGAGCCACGTGCACACAGACCACACACTCCCTCCGCAGCACACTACACAACTTGTTATTTTGTTCACCAACTCACCAAAGTCAGGAAAGTGGAAGTAATTCCGTGCAGCTAACACCTGGCCGCTGCGAAACCTCAAAGTAAAAATGCCCGGGCAAAAATATTGGGAGAGAAAAGAGATCACGGGTCAGCGTTCTGGGTCATTCTTCACTTTGTTTGGTGACAGAAGGTGTCCAGGTGATTCACTTACACACATCAACAGGGCCTGCAGAGCAGGAGGGGCCCAGCATACACATCTGTCAGGCTGGGGGCTTTTAGAACTGCAGGAAAGGGAAGAGTGAGACAGAACAGATGTGTAGGGGACATGGTCAAGGTTGCCTTGTGTTTTTACTCTTTTCTTGACAATGTTGGTACTGTTGTATGTACTGTACTTCAGTCGCAAAACAAAGTTACAGAATACTTTTCCATGGCTAACAAATGTTACACACATCACTGTTCAGAATTAGTTGATTTTTCTCCACCCACCTCACATTCACGAAAAGGGACAAATCAGATGCATGTGCATGTAGTTCGTTATTTTGTTAGATGCGACCATTTCCTACAACCTAGGAAGACCCAGTCCAAAGCATATTTTTTTGTGCGTGGGAAATAACTGGAAATTCATCGTAGAGATCTGATTGAAATACCCCTAGATACTTCACACATATGTATACAGCTCTTCATGTGGGGTACTGAGAGGTGCAAAGCCATTCATACCTGGATAATAACATTGGATACCTGTTGTGTAATTATCACATTAAAGTTGTATGGACCTCTCTTCATGACCATTACAAATTAAGGTGCCCTTAAGTTAAATGTTCAGAACTCCACAGTGCTTCCAGCGACTACTATTAATGAAATAACACATCAGCCTGTTCACACATCTGCATGACTTTTAACAAAGGATGATTTGCCAGAAGCCAGTGGAATAAAGTAGGTTTCCCTTGAGGCATAACTTTCCCCCTCAGATGGAGGTGGCTGTGGGCAGTGTGCTTTATGGGAAAGGCTAAGCGAAAGGCAGGTTCAGATGACAAAGGTCCACGGCTCTATTTGTTATTCTCCGGACCAAATGGTTCATAATCCATTCCAGCTCGCGAACGACCGGGGACAAAGTAGATGATAATTGTGGGGAACACAGCCACCTGCCCTCGCCTGGCTGATTTAGGGCCCTGTCTGACAATTTTGCACTTCAGGCATGAAATGAAGTGGTTAGGGCCGTCAGGTCCCTGGAAAACAAAAGAGCCTGGTGCCGGGCAGTTTATCGGTCGGCACAGATGCCATGACCTGTGTAAATGGCAGGGGATGAGGAGGAAGGTACCACTGCCGACCAAATTGGATGCAGGCTCCATTCCGTGCCTGAGTCACCTCACAAAATTATGCACCATGTATATAGCTTATAAAACATTGTGAAGTTGTATAAAGGTCTGGTGGACTTGATGGCTGCCTACACAAATGTTTTTAGAAGTCATGAGAGGTCAAAGAGAAATAACAGAAATATATGGCTGACTGTAAGCAAGCGGCTCAGGGAAGGCTTTGGATATCCATCTTATACGCTTTACACTTGCATAAATTGAGTAATGAAATAAGCACAAAGTTTACTATTGGAGAGAGCCTATATCATTATGCTAATCATATATATGAATGCAGTGAATAAAATATACTATTACTAGATACATGACCTTTGACTTGCATCTTTTCAGTCTTGCACTGATAATGCACAGCTATTGAGTTGATACAAATTGATTTCATTTTGTAGAATATTAGATTTTCTTCATTTCAGAGATACATGTATCATTGTCCAGGTTCTTTAATATTCTCTATGATGCTGTAAGTAGATGGTTGGTTGTTGGATATTCATACTGTGTTGTCCTCGTGCACAGTGACCTGGAGAGCAGACGCGAGGTTAAGAAGGAAGAGGGCGAGGCTTTTGCACGGGAACACGGGCTGATCTTCATGGAAACTTCTGCTAAAACTGCTGCCAATGTAGAGGAGGTGGGTAAAACAAAATAAATGGATGCCATGTAAAAAATAATGTTTACCTTTCTGTGACTGTCCCCAAGGGAGTTAGATATAGTTTTGGTGTGCAGAATGCAGCCTACCTGTTCATTCCAGTCTACCTGCTGTACTGGCTAGCCCAGGATTAGGGCCAATTTATACAGGGAAAAAAATATAATTTGGCCTGCATCAAATGATATATGTTTATGTTTGAAACAAGCCCACCATCAGTGCCATGCGGGGGTGGCGGGCTTGTTTAATTTACATGCTCAAAAAATCTGTCCCATGACATGCACGGAACGTTTTCTTGGCAGGCCTATAATGATATTTTTTGCCCGTGTAAATTGGCCCTTATATTTCCCCACTCCATCCACTACCACTCTTCTCTTCAACACTCTGTGAAGTTGTTGATGGCTCAGTGCTGTTCACCTGACTAGCACAGTTTTCTGTCTCCCTGCTACAAGTACAACCCTATCCTCTCCATTCCAACACCCTGTGGCATGTTGATGGCTCAATGTACCTGGTGGGATGTCAACACTGGGTTTAGCAGAGCTGGCAAATAGCCCAGGAGCTCCCAACACTCCCTGCTGTCAGTAGAGGTCCTAACACAACACAAACATGCCCTGTCTTTCAAGTCCATGGGTTTTACATTACAGTATAAAGCCGATAAACCTGGGATTTCCCCTAAACAGGGCCTTTATCCCAGGGCCTGGCTAGGGCAACTTTGATGTAGTATCCAGGAGAGAGAAGTGTCTAGGTGCTGAAATTTGTAGATCCTTTGTTTGCACAAAAACCTAAACTTAGACAGACTGGTCCCCTGAGAAGTTTCCTGACAGCTATAGTTAGAATCAAGAGATGATTGTTCACAGAGATGTATAGATGGCATTGTTCTTCATGTTTTCAATACATAGTTTATAGATAGTATTTTTGAATTGACATATTTTTGAATTTGATATAAAGATCTAAACTTATTTTGTACGTTCTTTAGTCCAACAAGTCTTTATGGTAGAAACATTCCACCTGCTACGTCAAGAAAAAGTCAAACTGAGTATATTAATTTTAAGACTAACTTAGTGCAGAAATTTTGAAATATTCTGAACTGTCTTCTTCTACCAGGTGGTCATAAGAACCAGTATCTCAAAATCCCCCAATACATCCTCCATCAGATCACAGATCACTGGTACCAAATTGATGACCCCGGGGCTCATCATGGAGTTTGTCTGTCTCCTGTTTTGATATTTTTATTCGGAATACAACTGTAGTTGCAGAAGTACTTAGAACAATGTAATATCCTTTAGCACAACCAAATATAACTCCAATGTTCAGATAGAGACTTATTGACGTCCTTGTCAGTAAGGATTCCCAGTAAGTTTCCATCGCCAGTGTTTGAAAAGGTCCCAGTTCAGCCCTGCTGGTGTACTGAATGGGTAGGGCCTTGCATGATTAATCAGGCTGTGGTAAATGTCAGGCCCTGCTCCCTGCCTCCTGCCTACTAATCACCCCTGCAGGGTAACTTGAGCACTGCCCAGGGACCTGGTTGGCTGAGGCAGGTTGCAGGGTCCCATGGGACTGGACCATCCATCACAAAGGGTCAAGTGGCCACCACCTGCTCCATTCATCACATTGACATGGACTCTACCATTCCTAACTCTCCATACAATATCTTACCTCTGGCAAACAGCCCATAATGGGCCATGTACCCTGTACACGACTGCAAAATTCAGAGCTGTAAAAGTCGGCGTCAGGGCGGTATTTGGAGGGTGTTTGTGGCTGGAAATGTGGGGTAAGGGTGGAGAGGTTGTCCATGGGTCACCGCTAATGGCAAGCCCTTTGAAATGAGCCCTGACATTTTCTGGCATCCCATGGTGCATTGGGCTGTGTATGGGGAGGGGTTGAGGCATTGTTCTGTAAACATGCAGGACTCTGAAGGAGGGCCTCAGCACTGTACATCAGAATTTGGATGGGAAGGTTTGATAAAACTGAAGAAGGCAAAACTAAAAAAAAATTTTTACATACTAATGAATTGCTACAAAATACTTGAAATATGACCACAGGATCATGTTTATGATATAATGGTATCATTGATATATGAGGTATTAATCACTCAAAATATAATCTACAGAAGGAATTTGTCAAAACAGGTTGCAATAATTTGTCATGATCAACAGGTCAAAACAGGTGTAAAGGGTAGCTGGAAACATTTCTAAATGTGCAAAGAAATTACCAGTAGGGTTGGTATGAAATGATTCAAGAGAGAAGTGCACCATGATTGAGCATTTGAAAAACTATAACATGACAAGATAACAAGTAAACAACATAATAATTTCTTATGCTATACATTGCTGAGGCAACAAGTTCCCCTCCAACCCCCAGTGAAAAATTTTGCCATCGTCTCTTCGTGGCTATTTTAAAAGAAGGAGTACTTGTAGACAAGGCCAAAGATTAGGACTTCATCATTTTGTGGGGCGGTAAGAGACCCTGTTTCAGGGACCCCTACTGCAGCCTCAGCTCAAGTGTCCCAACCCTGTGATTGGTCACAGCTTGTGCAGGGTCTAGAACTGACCTGGAGAGGTCAACGGTCGAGACAAGCATGTAACCCCTGCTCATGAAAGACAGACACTACTGGCTGGAAGAGAAGTACTGTGGGAAAGCATCTGCCAGGTTCTGCAGCCTACACAGCTCTTTTGAAGGAGTAACACAAGTCAGGTCATGGTCTCAGACCCTGGCATACTTTGTGCTATTCATGGCTGTCCGTCCTGTGGTGGGACATGCGGGATCTGGTACTTGCAACTCACACTGCCAATCAATTACACGTAAACTGTCAACAAAGCCCTGCATCCTTTCTTTGGAGGTCAAACTGCTGTGAAAGTTGTCCAGCCAGAAGTCTTGAGAACAAAGCCTGGCCTGAACCAGGGACCAGGTCCACGTGAGGTGTTTTAGTTGGCTGAGGATAGACATGATAGACAAATTTGGTCACTTTTAAGCCTAACCTGTCCAATAATGAGTCGTGGAAATTTAAAGTCACCCAACTTGTTTGTTGAACCAGTTGGTAACAAACATTGCATGCATAACGACTCACCTGTAGCAGACTAAAGGTCAAATAAGAGTTGTCCCCACACGCTGTACAAAAGGAAGAGAATACATACAATGAAGGAGAAGCAACAGAAAGAAAGGGAAACAAGCAACATGTCCTCTGTGTTGACAACATCGACTCCAGACATAGGAAGTCACCAAAAAGTTTGCATAATGGTTGCTTCAGTCGTAAAGTTTCCTATGAAATGAAAATATGTCCTATCCCTCGACTCCAAAACACACCAGCTATGAGGACCTGAGCTCTCTCAACTGTTTAATGCAGTATTTTCTGTAATCTCTGGGTCCAAGAACTCCAAAGGGTCCTTCAATGGGTTCACACAGTTTAAAATTGAAGAGAATAGATCTTCTCTAACCTTCTCCCTGCTGTATAACCAATAGAAAATTGGCAGCCAAAGGGCTTCTTCAGTGTGCTAAAGGTTAAAGGAGTGGGAGAACTCTCATTTCAGGGGAGAGTGAATGGATTCTTTCTTGATCCCAAAGTTAATGATTCTGTGGGAAGATACAAAAAATGTTTTCAGGATCAATGATCAGTAATAGAAGGCCATTTGAAGTCTCTGTAATGGTAAGATGGAGAGAGTAGTCTACCTAGTGCAAATAATACACATGGATTGATACTGTGTAACAGTGAATATATGTTGACCTGTAGCGTAGTTAGCTTGCCCTCTGGCCATGGTGCTTCCTCCCACCTACATTTGTTCTCTCCCATTGATCACCAAAGCTGTAGTGTAAACATACATATCAGTTCAGTTTGGAGTAAGATTTTCTTCTGTCCTCTACAGGCTTTCATCAACACAGCCAAGGAGATCTACGAGAAGATACAGGAAGGTGTCTTTGATATCAACAATGAGGTATTATATTCTCACTTTCTACATATTAACCCTCTATCTTACTGTTTTCACTAAAATTGTTAGGTTAGGTTAGGAAGTATTTTAACAGTGTATCTTCAAGATAGAACCAGATCCAAGTTTTGATATCACTTAGAACTGTTGAAAAGTCAGAACCATTTGCTTGACATAAGTTAAGCTTAACCTCTGCCCCGAGCAACATGCCACGTTAATCCCTCGCAGGTCCTTGAAAAGTTCAAGAGCAACGGAGGCATAAATCACGGAGGAGTTGGAAGACTATCTTTAGAAAGCATTTGGCCTTGAGTGACCCCTTGGATAGGGTGGACTGATTGTGAGGACAGTGTTACAGTCATTGTGTAGGTGTGTTAGAAAAATGCATACACTATCAGAAGAGTAGTGAAACCGGTATAGAGATAAATTTCCAGAGGTGAAAATGTTATTACAAAGCCAAAGGGATACAAATAATCATTCTGAATCCTGTCATAAAATATTGTTCTTCTCACCTTCCAGGCCAATGGGATCAAGATTGGACCACAACATTCCCCATCAAACCCAGCCCTGGGTGGGGGCGGCGGTGCAGGAGGCAGCCAACCCGGCGGTGGCTGCTGCTAAAAACTCACGATCATGCCCCTCCCCTCTGCCATCATGCCTCCCCCCTAAAAGTGTATGGTACAATCCAATCAGCATATTCAAATATCCCTGTAGAATTTCCATTGCATCCGTTTTATCTCCTGTATGTATGATATACTAGTAATCTGATGTGACCTCTACTCTCAGTAACAAGAGAAGTTACTGCAAGGCATCATGTTGTTGCAGTGAACATCATACACCAGACTATCAAATGTTGTAGTTTAACCAAGGCGATACATGGAAGATAGAAAAGATAGTCTTGCTAAAAAAAACAACTACATATTAACAGGAAAATATGATAATTTACAGTATTTAAAACCTGGTGAATTCCCAAAGCTGCACTTTCCTTCTGAGTAGGTTCTCCTGGGAATGGATCTTATAGCTGTCTAGTCTTATTCTTACACTTTAAGGAAACAAAGTTTAAGTAAGGATAGCATACTTGAATTTTCTCTTGATATTACCCTATCCTAACCTTTTTATCTAATGCAAACATGGGTGGAAATGTAGACTGGTGGTGAGATATGAACAAAGCTATTCCTAATCTTAGGTAACTTGTATCTGTGGGGACCTTTTCAGCCTGTGTGGGATTTTGGATGGATCAACACTCAGCATGTACTTGTATATGTTGAAGGTTGTCCTTTCTGGATAACTGGAGTCTCTGTAGGTCAAAGCTGAGGAAAATATGGAAATAAGATTACCATGGTAACCTCTTCCTGAGAAGATTGTAGATTTTGTGCAAGGTATTAGAGGTGGGAAGTATGTTTATGGCAGGATCTTTATTGTAAGTTAAACTATGTAGTATGTACTTGGCATGAAATAATGAAGGGATTCTTTCCAGGAAACAATCTATGCTGTTTGTTTGTCTTATTGGGTTAGAAAGTCATGTTATACAGATATTTGTATGAATGTGAGTACAGTCTGCTTTTTTGCGGTAGAGAAACTTCCTATCAGTGGTTCCCGTAACCCTGTAATTTTATGTAATACTATATCAAAAATCTTATCAGTACCATGTAAATCAACTAATATTATATTATATATGTATAAATGATATGTGAACGTGGATGAACTATCATTGGCAGAGGTAGCTGGTAGATCAGCAACTATACAGGCTTTTCATTAACTTTGTAGTGATTATAGTTTGAATCCACCAGTGACCATATTGGAATATGGCAGGAACATGGTAGCATGTGCATACAATTTTCCCCAACATGGTGCAGTGATGTTATGCGAAAAGCCTGTATTCTTAACTTGTACGAAGCCAACTGCACTTATACTTGTTTATTGCTGTAATAGAAGAGTTGTTTACTTTAAGTGGTCTCTTTATCTAGTTAGGTTTCTATGTGCTTGTAGACTTGTAGTTCACCCGCAGAACTTCTCTCAACCTTTATGCCAAAACTTTTGAGATTTGCAGATGTATGGACACAGGTGTTCAGAAGTGGGGACTGGGGTCGCATTTTCATGCTGAAACCATAAGTGTATGTTAGGTAGAAAGAAAGGTGTCATTTTTTTCCTGTCAATTGTAAGTTGTGAGTGGCATTCAAAATCAGCACACAGTATTACTCATGTACAGTGTACTATCAGTCCTTTAAGCAGCTTAAGCAGCAGAGAGATTTTCGTCAGCTTCTGTGCTGCTTACGAACTGGCCATTAGCCAACCAAAGGAGGTTGTGTATGCAGGATGAATGATCATGGTTTAGTTTGGTTTGAGCAAGTTTGATTGGGAAAGATTTGGCCTTTGTGCATATTGCATTCAGGCACATACATACACTTGGCAGCCAAATGCCCATACTAGGAACTAGCATACACCTGCTGGCATCAAGGCCACCAAAGTAGTTCCTGCCAGACTCTTTGTGTCTGGCAAATAATTGGCAGAACTTTACATGAAAACAGCATTTGGCTGGCTGGTAGGGTGTGTGTAAATAGGGAAGTGTGCACGAAGGCTGACTACCTTTTGTTCAGCATACTTCCTTTTACACATACCCTACTGTCTGGACAAACCCTGTCATGCCAGACTGGACCTGTTAGACTGGTATGTACTACCATTGGAATAGCTCATGCTTCTGATGATGTACGTGTATTTCTCCTACAAGTAAGCTATAAAGGAAGGGAATAGAAGTCAAGTTATGTGTAGCTTCCCTCTAAACACATACCAAGCACAGTACAGTGATCTGTATACAGTGTACTCCAGTAAAGACTACTGAAGTCTTCAGAACAAGCAGTCCACGGGTAGCAAACCTTAGTAGCTGATTGAAAAGAAAATGTTTGTCCCATTTTTGCACTTGCTGTATTAAATGTGATGGTTACTATAGGACGTTTTGTTTCTTGTCTTTCATCCCATGTGATTATTGGTACTAAGTCCTTAGAATTTACACCTAACACTACACCAAAGGCTGTCTAACTTGATTTAGGTAGCAATCACAAACTCCATTAGGAAAGACACACATGCAGCCAACTGCAATTCTTCTTTGAGTCATGGCTGGTTACCAGTACTTACCTGAATGCCAACACATGATTTTCTGTGCTAATTCACAGTTTCTAGCAAAACTGTAATTAATGACAAACAATGCAACTTCTCACTGGTTTTGAAATACTGGTATTTTATATGTACATGGGGGTTGGGGTGGCTACCTGTTCAAATAAGGGATAAAACAAATTTCAATGGACTACCTGACTGTACCAAAGCTTAACTTTTTGAAAGAATCAATCCAACCTACAAACACCCTATGTACAACTTGCACCTTGCTTGCATCTACATTTACCATAGAAGCAGCATTCCCAACAGGTGCCCCTAGCATGTCCAGATCACGAGATCAGAACAGGAAGTTCTGCTGCAGTACCAACGAAAGCCGCCAGGGGCCCCAAAATCTAAAGGTTTCTAGGTCTCGTCAAGACCTAACCACCTACCAAGTTTCATGACAATGCATATAATGCTTCTTGAGTTATGTTGTTCACAGACAAACGGACAAACACTACTGAAAACATAACCTTCTTCACGAAGGTAATAAAACTTTCCTGCCCACAACCTTACATCTACGCGTTACGTGTTACTGTGCCTTACCTAAACACCAGTGTAATGCATGGCCCAGTGTGGTGACAGGCAGTGATAGATGTGAAACAGACCGTATATTGATGGTCCTGCCGGTGCAAACAGGACCAAAACTCATTTGTTTGTTTTCCCAAATCAGCGGACGTCACCTGTGGGATGCTGGACCCGGAACTACAAACTCATTAAACATTAATTCTGTAGGTAGAATCTAGAAATGTGGCTTTGATAACTCTGTACGCTAGACCGTCATAACAGGCATACGTTAAGGTAGGTACTACATGTAGGTCTAGTGTCGCTTCCTCCAAAAAGTGGTACCAATTTCTAACAGTTTTCTTGCATTCAGCTTGTTTGAGAGTGGTATAAAGTCCTTCTCACCTATGGCTACATAACGAACGACTGTTTCACATGCATGTTCATGTCTAGTGTAAGTAGCTAGCTATAGCTTGACGATTTCATCCACATCAACTCACGAGGTGCGCTGTAAACCTCTTACCCTTCTTAGAACCATGCAGGATAACCTCACACACCTTCCCCGCTGGCTTTCACTTCGGAGGGATTTTTATCGATGGTTGTTGGCAGCTCCACTAAATGAAACTCGCCCAACGAAATTTACCTCGGCTCCACGTAGTCTGGAAGCTGCCACGGGGGACCATCTCTTCAGCACAACCTGAGCCGTGCGCCAGTCGTAAGAGGCTGCTGATGTTATTGAAATCAAATTACGGGGAAAGATGTCGTCACGCTCAACCAATCAGAGTGTCTGTGGGCAAGACGGAAGTAATTTCCCGTCGTGTGACTGATACAGGAGATGCATCTAGCTTGGCAACCAGGAATTTATCATGTGGAAAAGAGCGGAGATGGATGACAGCGATGGCATATTGCCTCATCCAGGCCACCTGCCATAAAATTGTCTTTGGGGCGAGTCTGTCTCCGGACGACTGGAGAGTTGTAAAATTTATTTTACGTGGTTTTAAAGTTGTGGACAGGCATAGAATTATGTTCTTTTCCAGGGAGGTCTATGCCTAGTTACGTCTATAATGAGCTCCGATAGCTTCTCCTTTGTGAAATGCGAGACATAGTACCTGTTTAACTAGTTGGAAATGTTCCATTCCCTGACCGACAAAATCTGTTGTTCTTGATATAACGTTATATATAGCGAATTTTTGGCTCGTAACATTCCTTTAGCCTTTCTTTTCGAAAGCGTTGATTAACAAGTCATGAATATACAAAACAAGAAAAGTATATGAGATAATTAATGCTTTCAGACCTGATGGAGTGGCATGGTTTATTAGTCTGATAATCATTAATTGTCACACTCTGTAGTTACCTCTAACTTTACATATTAACTTGAAAAAGTCCGTTCCAATTTTAAAATTTACGACAACTCCACGGAATTCCATTTCCTTCAAAACTGTTAGACAATCAATTTCTGTTTTCCAATAGATAACTAAATCACCAGTATCGGAATGATGAGCCCTACAAGGAACCAATCAAAAGGGCAATTACAATCAATTAATCTTGTGTAATTAAGCTCCCCAAGGGCCATCAACGTCAAAGCTAAATGATACAGCAGGATTAATTGATTGGCTGGATCCCAAAACGTCACGTCGCAGTGTTCATTATCTCATGGCCAACTCTTCTCTATTTGCGCAATTTCAGTGTTTGTCAAACTCTGTTATTGCATGTTATACACCGGAGCCCATCAGCCTATGCATCTTTGTCACAAACAATTTTTATTTTCTTCACCCTTAATGAAATTGTAAGATGGATCACGACCTTGCAGCAGCCTGATGATGTCCTTAGTGTGGAGAATCAATTAAGACCTGAATCGCTGATTTCCAAACTAAGTCAGGATGACATTACCTGGGGGAATACTAGCTAGGACTGCGGCGTAACTCCGGGAGGATCACGCCTCTTTTGATCAGAAAAGTTTGCCGTGCTTCTGACATGAGCTTGTCTGGAAAACTCAACATCACCGCAGCCGGCGTGAAGGGACTCGTCACAGGACTCGTGAAGTGTTTGTTGTTTTAGCTTAACAAATACGTTTAAAGCTGTACCTGGAGGAATACCGCCAAATCTTGTTCCGCTTGACATCCAGGAATCCTTGTCCAATAAATGGATCAATGTCACGGCGTGCCTCACGGGCCTACTGTCACAGATAGCGGGCATCAAGTTCGCCAGCTCGGGGCTAATTGTTATCGCGGGGGAAGTGCGACCTACATTGTGGGAGTGACCCTTGGCGGTAATTAACCCACCGGGAGCCCTTGTCAGTGCCAGCTGGGCTCAGCGCCTCTGATGAGGGATTCTAATTGTGGCCATTATTGGCGGTCGGTGGGACCCAATGCCAAGTGCAACTGGGAAAACTGTGGTGAAAGGAAAATCGTTAATTCCCCTCAGATACCTTACAGGGAGACAACAACGGCGTACCTTGAAGACATCAGTGAAGCAGTGAAAACTTTCTATTGACCTGCTCGGCAAAAGTGAAAAAGTTTTCTCTACTCTCCAAGCAGAGGTTGGTGGGGGAGATTGTGTCGACCTTTCTATCATATGCCATATGTTTTCTGTCGCTACTCCCTCCAAGCAGAGGTTACTACTCCATTGGTGGGAAGTGGCGACAGAAAACGCGGCATATAATAGAAAGGTCACACTTCCCCACAACCTCTGCTTGGAGTTTCCGACTGGATATTGTAGCTTGCCCAAATGTGATGAAAGCTCCTTGAAGCCCCGTTCAGTTCCCACAGTGGGTTTACATTGAGAAGTTCATCGCATGCGTACATCTACCTGTCAAAATGCCGGCGGCCAGGGATGGAACAACAGGTGGGGGTTAGGTTCATCGGCAAACGATATCGATGGAGAGTCATTGAGAGTTGATTCATAACAAGAAAAGGAATATATGTATACTTCTGGTGTCGATTTGTCATCTCGATTCTCTCGTCTCAAACGGTCAGAGTTGAAGTCATCACAAAACGGTTGAATTGTAAACTATCTTGCTGTGTGGCAGGTCTCTTGACGTCAATGGGGTAGTATCCGTGAACCTTAACTCTCTACCGGCAATCATGAAGGACAGACTTCGTTAAAGATAACAGCGTCTTTTAGGAAAATGACACGGCGGGAGTTACGCCAACGAGGAGCGGGTTACTGAGTTGGGGCCACGGACATGTAGGATAAGATAACGCCGAATCCGGTGGATGACATGATTCATCTTCATACAGTCCCTACTTCCACTCTACTCCGAGTCGGTTCAAGCCAGAGGTACAAAAAGTGGCATCGCTGAGTCAAAGTACAGTGTATAGAAGCTATAGAAACTAAACAACGATTGTTAACCTAACTAGGATGGCACCCGGGCTACAGATGGAAGCGCTTGTAGCAGCCATCTTTTTCACCTGAGTTTAGAAACTAAGCAACAGCACGGACACCCTTGTATTCGACCAGCAAGGCTGAGTTCAACCCTACAACTGTACAAGTTCGACTCCCGGAGTATATTAATACATGTACATGTATACTCATGGGGACACACAGTATTGTATGAATTTCGAATTCCCGACTGGCTACGGGTACCATCAGGCATCACAACAGCTCATGCAGTGTGCCGACATTAGATGATAAAGTTTACTTCCAAGGATGAACTTGACACTTGACCAGCAGCGCGGGAGGCAGGAACTGTCCTTGGGGCGTATCTCAACGCGACCACTGGCCTTGTCATACGCACGTGTTCAGGTGAAGAAAGGACTGTGTCAATTGTACTCGGAAAACGGTCATGGTTTTCGTACATACGACTGGATACCCCGGTTGAGAATGTCGGCATAACTTTTCAGAAGATATGCACATCCTGGTCCTGATACAGAAAACAAAAGGAAGACATAAATTATATATATATATATGACCGTCTTTATTTGGGAGAGAAAAAAAAGGATACACTAAAACTGTAACATTAGTCTATACGGTTGTAAAATTCAGGACAGGTGGCTGTGAGTTAAATGTAAGAAAATTACACAGTCTCTATACTGAGATTCTGCTCCTGTTGAAGCACCTCCTGTTGTGTCCTGTTGCTGAAGATGAACGTCAGTCGGAGGCGGCAAGGAGATGCACCATGGCGCCACATCCGATATTCAGAACAGATGGGCGGGTCGATAGACCGTCACATACCTGCAGAAAAACACAGCAAACCAGGTTTTGTCACGTGTTGGTAACATTACCACTAGTTGGCTGATCCCTAGTTCAATACAAGGGATCAGGCAAAATCTTTGTACAAAGTCCGTGACCAAGCCCGCTAAGACCGCGAATAGTGAAAAGAGGTCACATTTGTCGTACGATCGCTGTACGACCGAGGCGGATATTCGCATGCATGTGTCGTACAAAATTCAGGTGTCTTTTTATGGGAAAGGCTGTCTTAGATCCTTTTGGGTGGTGTTTCTGTCACTGTTTGCTTGAGAATTCCATGATATCAAAATCGTCCTATACGGCCTATGCCGATGCTGTGTCCGCGCCGCGAGTACGATGAAAGTAGAGACTGCGGACGCCATACTAGTAGCCATGCATTTGTCAATGTAAAACCTTTAGAGGGCTCCTTGTTTGAAGGGTCACAAGCTTTAACAAAGATAAAGCCTGTCCATATCTCCTACGGTGCAAATGTTGCCAAGATATTCACATATTGTTCAGACTGAACCCAGAGCTTGCGTATCAGGTAAAAAAAATTCTAGGAAGGCCACGCCTTGTCAACATCCGTATGGTGAAGGCCGGACGGGCCGTACCGTTGCTGTGCCTGTACAGCGAGGCTAACAAAAACATCATCCCAATTCTATATGGTACTCAACAATCAACACGGAGATATTACAACCAGCAGACACCTGTCAAAAGCGTGATATATATTCCGACATATCATATGATACCGACTCATTGCACATAGATTGCTCCATCGTGTTGACGGTACGAATCTGTGTGCGAATTGAGGCCAGCTCCACCATGGTGTATTGTATATGGATTGTATCAGGGCGCTGACCTGGGAGGCTGGTGCAGGGGTGACTTTTACGGAGGACGGAATCCGCGGAGTGTGACACGCCCGCGTTTCCTGTTGCAGGCATCAGCGGTGACGTAGGCTCGCCCACTGACGCTTTGAATGACGTTTAGTTGCGTTGGAAACGTTCTTGAGACCACAGTCACGAGGCACAGAAAATCGCGGACTAGTTATCCTCCCTCGTATAATTCCAATTCTTGAAGCTGACCTTTAGTAGAGTGTTCGTGACGTCCTGGAGGTTTCATAAATATTACTGGTGAGTGAAGAGGTTACGTGAAAAGGGATGACAGAGGAAAACGGTCAGAGGGACGTAGCATATCAGGATGGATTTCGATGGAATTCGAAGGGTTAGATGAGAGGAACTCAAAAAGACGAAAACCGATGAATAATAATCGAAGGAAGGGAGAAGAGAGACCATGATTTTACTACGCAGAAGATAAACACAGAAAACATTTTTCTTTGTCCAAAGTTGAACACAGCTGAGGGTGCGCAACTTGCATATGGGGCATATAAGTGATATATACAGAAAAAAGAAACTTTCCCTCATGTGACCCCAACTATAGGCCAAGCATCAGCAGTATTGCATATTGGCACAAAACCTTTGATACGTACATCGCTATCTGAATCGCGTACCAATGAGAGATAGTTCCGACCATTTCCAGTGCGTAATTCTATCCGAGACGATCATCAAAGCAATATCATTCGGGAACAGAACGGTGGGTGTTGACTTTTGACTTTTCATCATCATTAGTAGCGAACTTACAATGTATCTCCACAGTATAAACAGTATAAACACACACAAACACATGAATCTTAATAAATAGCTAGTGTCAGTGAAGCTAGAATGTCAACCTTTACAAGGAAGTCACACAAAAACAATTGTTACGTTAATTATTATTATATTGAAATACTGAGAAAGTGCACTGAAGCTTTTATGGTCATACATTGATTTCAACGCACAAGAACTACAAATTGAGTTTGAAATCATACTTTTCTTGGCGATATGATATGGTGCTTGCATACAAACAGGCAGACACCCCTATACTTGTAATTGCCTGTAAATCATTGAATTATTTTGTTGTTGTTGTTATTTACAAAAATTAAATATAGGACAGTAGTATGTGAGTGTAAATCAAGTTTTTTTTTTGTCTCAAGAAATTTGTGAAAGATGCGTTTTATCTTGAACTACAATTTATTATCAGTTACCTGACATGTATCTTAGTGCCGAATAAAAATGAAATAAAGTACCTGAAGTCTCACGTGCCTTTTGCTTCTTGCCTGTTTCTTCTGCCAATTTCACTGGAACTCCTTGTCTTTGCGCGGGAAATTCGCATTGCCGAGAGAAAGCATGCACTTTGTTGGCAATGTCCCAAGTAGGAATCCTTTGTCCCCCTTGCAAGCCCCTTCCTGACTCCCAGGCGCTGTCGTGTTATCAATCGTGTGGCGGAAGCTCCGCCCACAACAGCTGATTATCCATATGCCAATACCTAATCACATACGGGAACTTCGGCAAATTGGCAGCCTCTCATTGGTCGGCGTACTCGCCGAACATCGGGACGATGATTCACAACCAGGCTTTGAGAAGCTTCCGCTGATTGGTCAGAGGCTTTCATGTTGTTCTGTCAATTTGAAGATATTACCGACGAACATGCAAAAATTTTGAAGTCTATAATTACTTAACACAAATAGAAGATTGAATTTTGTAAATTTTGAATGTTCTGAGCTACATTAAGGTAAACGTTACCTATCCTGTGTTAAGCTCGGAAATGAGGGCAACCAATGACAGACGATCTTACAGGTATGCTAATTACCAGTCGCACGCTCCACTATGATCGTGGCTCAGCGCAAGGCCGCCCAAAAGTTCGCAAAATTCACCGCACAAAATTCGCCGTGTGTTCCCCATGGCCAGTGCTGGTAAGTCGCCGTATTTTCCCGGGTTTGTGGGTTTTGTCTTGTTGGGGATGGTGTGGAGGGGTGAGGGTGAGGTTACCTTGTTCGAGGCCCCGGGGTTGCCCCGTAAGCCGGCGTCTTCGGACCAACAAATTCTGCTCTCAAAATCTCTCTTTCAATGCATGGCGACCAAACGCAACTTTTCATTGTTCGGAGTTGTCGGGTTGGCCCCATGTTTGAGGCAGATCTGAGTCTCCGTACAGTGTTCTCAAGAACTATAGACTACTCTTAAGTGTACAGTCGTGTGTGTATGTTGACCACGTGTGTATATAAATACTACCATTGAAAGATAGGACCACAAAATTCTCTATATTCCACCATTGTCTTCGCCACATGGCCATGTTTTTTGTTCGGGTGTTGGCGAAGCTGGCATCAAAGTCGACTTTGGCCTGTGCGGAATTTCGGGCTCAACTGACAATTTTAGCTCAACACACTGGTTTTCTCAACATCACAAAGTTGTATAAGCTTTCTGGAAATGTCTAGTGTAGTTATTGATTGACAGACTTGATTGATACCCATCAAATTGTCAAAGGGAGTCGAGCAAACAAAGGCCTCGGCGGACCAGCCAACCTGGCCCGAGCTGACCACTATTGAATTTCGTAACGACGAAAACGGGAAGAATTCAAATGGCTGTTGTTGGGCGTATTTTTCTCCCGCGTATGTAGAAATATTTTCGTCATTGGTGTGTGTTTTGAAAAGACAAAGGGCTCAAGAGTTGATTGTTGTGTTCGGTAGTAACAACCGGTGAGTCATACGCCGTATCACGTACTTAGGATTGCGCCAATAATTTTCCTCATCAGTGGAAAGAGCCGTATTTTGGAAAGAACATTCTGTGGTGACCAATAAATTTTAGAGCTGTTACATGTGTGTTGTTTCAATTTTTAGTTTCTAATTACAATTGTAAATCTAGATACTACCAACAGAATTTCCACGGTGGATTAGTTGTTGGTCAATTAATCAACATTAATTGCTAGTTATGGTTAGTGTACAGAATTAGTAGATATTATGTGTTTACTGACACTGGTGTCTTTTTCCAGGTAAATTCTTATGGTTATGTTAGAGGCAAGAACCAAGCTTGCCAGATGTGACATGCAGAAGGAAGTGTGTCTTGTACAAGTGTGTTGTACTTCCACTTGAGATCACTAACCAGGTGAAGGAAAAGAGCATGTCGGAGCCGTCTATGCTGGGAAGCTTGTTTGAGGACGATATCAACCTGATGGGTGACTTGGCAGGAATAGGTGGAGAGTTCCCACCACAGGCAGGACAGCCCATGCAGCCCATGGCACCCCCTCCCCCTCATGCCGCCGCAGGGGGAATGGGGATGCCACCACATATGGGCCAGGGGGAGCAGATGATGGTTCAGCAGCAGCCCCATCCCAGTTTTGCACAGCTTCAAGCCACACAGCCCTCCCCACAACAGAAGCTGCAGCATTATGGAGACTACGGTCAGTACCCTCAGCAGCAGCAGCAGCAGAAGCTTCACCACATGAACCAACAAGGCATGATGGGTAGTCCGCAGCACTCCCAACAAGTATTGAGCCCACGTCATCACGCGATGGCTTCAGCGCAACCTCGGATGCCTTCACCCCACCAGTATCCACAGGGCATGGCCGCCCAGCAAGTCCAGAGAACTGATCCTCGTTTCCAGTCATACGCTATGCAAAGAGGCATGCATCCGGGGATGCAGCCTGGGATGAATGGTGGGGCCGCGGTTTCTCACCAGAACGTATGGCCAGGACAGCAGCAGGGTCAGCCCCGTCCACCTGCACAGCCATACAACGGCATGCCAGGACAGCACCCAGGTGTACAGCACCCTGGGATGACTCCGTACATGTCCCATCATGACTATGCACTGCAGCCTCAACAACAGAGGCTGCACCACTACCCTCCGACTGCAGGCCCTCAGCAGGTCCGGGCTGGCATGCCCGGCCAGGGCGACCCTTACATGACAGGGACGAGTAGACTCACACACATGCCAGGGGGCCAGCACATGCCCGGTACCACGGCTGGGCCCACCACACCTAACAGACAGCGTCACCCAAGTGCAACTCCACACTACCCATCTACCTCACAACAAATGAGCCCAATGCGTCAACAAATGTCACAGCCTACATCACAACCTGTGCCTCCCAGCTTCCCTCAGAGCCAGCACCCCCAGATGAGGGATTTGAATGCCTTTTCTCCTAACCACACAAGCCAGGTGGCTGCGGATCAGAGGCAGCGCAATAACTCAGGGCAAATGAATATAAATGTGAATACAAGTATGAACAAATTGCAGCATTATCCGTATCCAAGCCAGGACCCCTCACACCCTGGGATGGCGCCAAACATGATGCCTCCACAGGGTGAGCAGGGAGCTCCTCGCCTTTCTCACTTTCCGGAAAACAGTCAGGGTCGTCAGGAACCATTCCTGCCACAATATCCAGGAATGGGGCAGCACCGCGCCCCAACTCCAACGTCGATGACGGCAACTGGTCCGCATCCATATCCGCCCCAGTCGATGTCGGCAGCATCTCAAGATCCTGCTCACAAGCAGCAAAACGTTCCCACAAGTGCACCTTACCCGTTCCAGTCGGGGCCCCCTACATCTCAGGGTTATAGCCAGGGGGCTGTTCCCAGGTCCAGCCAGGCACCACCATCCAGTCTCCAACAACTAGAACAACTCATGCCTCCCCAGTCCCAGTCTGCCCAGACTAACCTCCCTCCCCACTCCCAGTCAGGGAACTACCCGCCCATGGAGCAGAGTGTTCCGGCGAGCAGTGCCGGCCACAATGCTCCGCAGCCGTTCAGCGTCGGGCCGGAGTTTCCTCAGCAGCAGGGTCATACAAACAGCCCCCAGCCCAACCAGAACATGACCCCGGCACACTACGAGCTGCAGCAGCTCAGTCAGCAGCTACAGTTCGAGTACAACCTGCCGCCACATCAGCGTAACCCTGAGAAGATCGGGCACCTACAGGAGAGGGTAAGGGTGCTGCAGAGCCAGATAAACATGGGACAACAACAACAACAACAACAACAGCAGCAGCAGCAACAACAACAACAACAGGCTAATCAGGTAATGTGCACTATATATTATGGTAAAAAAATTAACTTTAAAGCATTACTGCCTAGTGTTACTTTTATTTACCTTCTTGTGTACATGTATTTTGTTTATTTTCCATGTGTCAATAGCTTATTTAGTTCCTACTATTTCTGGTCATTTCTGATATTGACCTGATGACTTTGTAGATCAACAACATTGTCAGTTGAGAAGTATTGTTAAGCTTCCAATTCACATGTCTAGAGTGACCTTTTGTTGTTGCGTAGAGTCATAAGTTATGGTTGTTTAATTTGTTTGAAGTCTTCTGTGTAATATCCGTGTTATATTTGCTTACAGTTCAGGTTCAAAGACTAGCTTGAACAACAATTGATTTACCCAGTGTTGCCATCTGGTCTCTTCTGTCTGTGCAAGGCATTGTGGGAATGCTACATGACTGACTGTATATTCTAATTTGCTAGAGGTTGCTTGGACCAAATAGTGGTTTATTGCTTCAAAGTTGATAGTTCTTCACATATCAACACTTTTACCTGAAGATGAAAACAAAAAGATGTATAAGCATGCTGTATGAGAGAAATGGTGTTGGTCATGTGTCCAGCATCAACCCTTCTTTCTGCCTGGGACAGACACAAATTTCAGCCATTCTGTCCTCCTCGATGAACAAAAATGGAAAGTTCATTACGTTTTTTTTAACAAAATGCTAGTAAAATCTGAATACAGATATAACCCATATAAAATTTACACCTGAAATTAAACCTGTAAGTTTTCTTTCAGGTAACATTGACCCTTTTCTTTTCCACAGTCATGTGCATAACCCACATAGAGGACTTTAGACAAGGCCACTGAACTCAGTACATACAACCTCAGAGTTGCATAGAATTCTATTTTCGAGAAGTGTGGCTGGACAAAAACATGAAGTTATAACTTAAGCCACAACACTAGGGGATGGACAGTACGAAAGAAAAGACCCATGTGGCCTACAAAAAATTGTATGTTTCAGGAACTTATTCTTATATCTGGACGGTATTTTGTATTTTTCTGTCACATTGGAGGAGATTTGTTTTGAATTTTCAGTATGATGACTCCGAGTTGAATTGTTCAGATGAGTATGGCTTTACCAGGTGCAGATGTATTGAAGTTACTTTATCCCAAAGTTACTGTTGAAACTTGGCACAGACACAAGTATTTGGCATGGCGTTCTCATACCTAAGCCTTTAAACTAAGCTGGTAATTTGTACACATTTTGATGCTGGATTTTCTTCTTAACACTACGGTAGCAGGGTTGAAACTTTGTGTAACAGAATCTTTGCACATGGATATAACGGCTTGGTTGAGTGTGCTTGTTTTATATTGTCCTCCTGTATTTCATAAGAGTCTAGGGGGTCACTACTGTAAGCTATACTAGACCCATGTTGATCGGATTGTCCCTTTATATTCTTCTTCTATATTCTACAACTGTGAAAGACTTGTATTCTGTGATGAAGGTAGTAAGTTGTCAAAGTCCAGAGTCCATTCTAACATGTAAACAAGCTTTTGACCAGTAGAACTTTCCCAGAAAGAGGCTTCATGTGTTTACTGGTGGTAGTTGGGAGGTCAGGGGTTAGCAAGGAATAGGCTACTTGGTTAGCCATTGAATGGCCCTCTAACCAAGATTTCTGTACACATGAAAC